CGCTCTCTATCTCTTTCGCTCTCCCTTCTCCCTCTCCCTCTTCCAGTTCTCGAAAAACAATCGCAAATTCTAAGAGTGTGGGGGCGGGCCAGGGGCAGGGGCGTTGTGTTGAGTAGGGGAACCGGCAAGGGCAATTTTTTTTTGGTGAATTTTGATATTTTTGTTTTGCAGGCATCAAGCAAAAAAGAAAGAAAAAACAGTTGAAAATATTTGGTTGAGCATCAATTTCAATTGGATTAGCTAGGTAATTCAAATAAAAATCATAAATTATTTAATCGCAGCACATGTATATGTTATATAATGCGTAAACACAAATATAATTTAATTATAGACATTTGTTTTGATTTACAAATCCAGACGAATGTGTGAATATCTCTCTGCGCTCTAATCTCATATTTATATTGTTTATAGACTCGATGTTCGTGTGTTGATGTTTCGCATTAGAAACTGACCTATTCCAAGCGGATTTCAATTGTCAGACTCGGTTTTGTGGCGCACGATGCGTGGCTTATGTGAAACTGCTGGGTTTGTAGTAATATTGTGTAAGGCGGGCGGCATTATCAACAATATATGTTTATATATAGTAACATATAGTAACTCTATCTAGTATTTGTGGTTGAGGGTTATCGCTGTCATTCTTGGCAGACTGTCGATTAATTATGCGAACAGCTGCAGTTGAAGTGCTTTAATCTTTCAGTTTATTGAACATTAAACATAGCAATTACTTTTAATTTATTTTAATTTAATTAGAACTTTTTTGGAATTCCATTTTCAAATTTTCGAATAGAGAATTTCAAGATAAAAGTTGCCATTATATAGTCGAGTCTGAATTGCGTTTCCAACTCTAAATTCAGAAGCATGCCCTGGTTTTTGATTGATATTGATTGATAACGATGGAATGTTTCATCTGTACCCCAATACCTAATCATTTCTCAACCTGAAAGTGACTAATTGTGAGCATAAAAGTTTCAGCTGCTTTGCTGAATTTCCGCACAGATTTAATATATATATATATATATATATATATATATGACAACTCATATGGTTGTGATCGATCACATGCGTTTGATTCATACTAAAAAGTTGTTTGCTTTTAGCTGCTAAATAATAAAAAATAAACCGCCGTGCGCCAAGCTATTTTTTTTTTTTTTTGGTTTCCCATGCGGTTGATGGACAATCAAAATGTGGCGGCTATAAATAAGACAAGAAGAAGAAGTCGACACACTGCTGCTACCGTTCCAGACTATTCAGGTATAGATACTAGATACTAGATGCTACAAGAACTGTTTGTATGTATTTGATTCGGATTGTGTCTCTCACACTTTGCGCGAAAATTAAAACAAAACTCAGCCGTGGCGTTGGTTGGTCAAAATTTGCGACTTTTTGGCTTTTGCGTCACAGAGGCGCACCACAAATTGGCGCCAGATGCCATAAATCAAATCTCGTCTGCTTAATATTCTATTATTCTTCTTTCGTTCGACTGATTATGCAAGCAACAAACCACGATAGGAATGTAAATAACGGAGAGACCCTCATTTGCCGGCAAAATTCTTGTTGAATTTTTATCACAACCTCGACGAATTTCAATGCGATATTTTTTTAAGTGCAAGAAAAAAAAAAAAAAAACGAAATCATATTAAATGAAATTACATTTTATTTGTTTAGCGATTCAATTTGCAATCGCTTTTTAATATTTTGTTGTTGATTTTTTTAAATCAGCATTTGGGCTGTTTATTTGTTTTGATTGTGTTTATCTTTGATTTGATTTTTTTTTTCGTTTTTATTTGATGCCATTTACTTCAAGTACGTGAATATTTCATATATTTATTTGGCATTTTCACAAACTCTGCACAATCTATATATTTATTTCTTTATATATATATTTTTTGAATGGATCTTTCACTTCACGACACGTATATATTGAATATTATATTTTCGTTTCTCATGTTTTGTACTGTTATTAACGATAAAATGGCAGATTAAAATGTTCGCTCATGCATATTTATAGCTCCCGAAACGTACAAAATATTTTGGTGTGGATATATATATTTATTTTTTGTTCGAAAAAACCGCTTTAGAAAATCCAGTTTGCACGATAAATAAGTTTTCTTTGTTTTGGTAATTATGATTTAGAAAAAGTTATGTATTATTAATAAGTGCCACAGCTAGTTATTAATGAATGACGCGCAAAAACTATATAAATATTTAAAATTCTTTACTAATGAATTTCAATAGATTTGCTTCAAAATTTTCTCGAAATTCTTAATTAAAATTCATTAATGCACAAATCACGTGGCTCCGCCTGACACGTCTGACGCGGCCGGCGATTAAAGTTGTACTGAAAGGCGGCGGCGACGACGACGACGACGTCGAAGTAGTCGCCATGTGGCCACAACCAGCAAACAGTTCATATACTTGCGAGTGTGAATAGAGAGTGCACACACACACACACACACTCACATACATAAATGGTATATAGAGTAAAGTGTATGCATCTGTATGTGTGTGTGTGTGCCAAACCGGCAAGGCATGTGTTGTGTGTGTGCGTATATGTGTGCGTGTGTGTGCTTTATATACGTGCATATGAGACAGTAGAAAAAGGTGAGCACAACAAAAAAATTAAGCGAGCAAAGCGAACGTAGAAAGCCAAAAGAGACGCACGGTCTAAAATAAGCAGCGTATAACGCATAAAGTAGGCGTGGTTGCCGCTCTGTTAAGCGAAAATTTGTCTAATTTTTGTCTAAACGACCTTTACTGTTAACTAACAGCGCACTGGGAGCGACAGCTTGTCTACGTCTTTTTTGTTCCCGCAACGGCCTTTACTGTTAACTAACAGCTCTTAGAGTGTGTTTTTACATACACACTAAAATTATGTATTAGTTCTGATATGTTACGCATTTTAATGTTAGCTAGCGTATTGTACTTTAATTAAAGCTAAATTTGTGTGTGTTGCAATGGGAAAATATATTAAATTAGAATTGCTGCTCTTTCTGCCGCTCTTTCTTCGTTTCGTTTACGTTTCTGCTCTTGTTGTTTACATCAGCCAACTGCTGCAAGGGAAATCTATTTACACTTATGCGATTCTAATGTTGTTCTAGTTGGTGTGCCCAGCGGCACGTACGCACCACTTACAGACAGAGAGGAGGTGGCCACCAGCCAGCACCCTTAAAATGTTTATGCTCTGATGATGTAACTCTCTTGCGTTGTTCTCGTTTAACATTGCTATGTTTTGTGCGTATGTTTGTGTGGGCTGCTTAACAGACTTTCGCTTATGAATGGCTTATGACAATAAAAAAAAATCCACAATAACATCTCACACCCACACACGTACACATACACAAACATAGATACACACAGAGACGTCGTCTGGGGCTGCCTTCAAAATCAATGCCGGTTAATTGAAGTAGCTTGCGAATTATTTATATTTTTGCCATTTGCTACTATTTTTGAGTGAAAAACATGAAATGACGACATTGTAAATATACAAATACCATTCTTGTGTATATACATATACATACATATATACATATGTATTAATGTAATGGAACACATTTGACGCGCCTCTTGTTCATGTTCATGCTCCCTCTCGTTTTTTCTTTCGCATACTTCGCGCTTTGTACATGATTCAAGATTACGTCATGGCCAAACACTTGATACGAAGCCGGCGACGAATAACCACAACAACAACAACAACAACAAAAATGTGCACAAAAAGAAACGAAGCCAAAAGCAAACAATAAAATGCAAGACAAAAACACCGTAGGAGCGAATGGGAGAGTGGATGCGCGAGCGGGAGAAGTTCAGCCTGTACGCACCAGGTGGCGTGTTTTTGTTGTTGCTCTGCGCTGACATTGAAAATGCAAGCAGGCAACAAAAGCAAACAAAAAAACAACAAAAAAACACAAATGCAGCCTGTACAAGTTTTGGCTGAGCAGAAAAGTTTTTCAAGGTTAAACAAAGGGTAAGCACCGACAGAGACCAAAATGCAGCAACAGTTAGTTTTTGAGTCGCACTTGCTCTTTTTATTATGTTCGCCTCCCTCCTCTCTTTGAGTGTGTGAGTGTGTTAGTTTGTGCGTGTGAGTGGCTCCCTCTCTCTCGCACATGTGTGGGCGTATTTATCATATTTCCACGCTGATCTTTTACAAGTCCCTTAATGGAAAGAACCAAATGAAATGCCTCATCCTCACCGCCCCCTCCCATCATTGCTATCTACGTTGTTTTTTAATCCATCAAATGAGGTTTTTTTTGCTGACTTGCTCTATATTTATTGTTATGACCATTATTCGTTACATAATCCGTGCATATTTTATTTTGTTTACTTGCTATTGCTGAGCTTTAAATGTGTACTTTTCAGCTTTACAGCTACTTATAAAAAAGTTGCCATATATATTTCAATATCCATATTAAATAATCTATCAAATCAACAATAACAATATGGAAATTTCAATTTCAACTCAACACGCACTTAAAAGCAAACAACAACAACTGCAAAACTCAATTATTTACAGCACTCGTATTTACATATGTAAAATGACTGGCAAACGAGCAGAACTTATAAAAACTGTTTATCTCTGTTAAGCCAGCCCCTTAAGCCCCGCCCTTTTTAGCTGCTAATAAAACTTCAGGTTTTTACACATCGTTTAGTTATTATCTTTTTTTTGTTTCGTTTTGTTATTTTTTTTTTTTAGCATATGCTATTTGCGTATTTTTTTTTGTATGTTTGTTTTACGCTGTTGCTGTTATATTTGCATCTGTATTTATGTGTGTGCGTGTGTGTGTAATTGTGTATTCAAAGTCAAGGTTAAATTGGGTTGCATGGATTTTGAATATGTCGCTGTTTCATTTATGATTTACATAAATAATTTGCTCCTCAATTCGAAAGCAAATTCAATTAATAATAATGTGTAATATGCATAAATATTGATTTTATGTGTCTGATACTTGCTGTTAAACTCCAGTAAATAAATTGTAATTTTAAAATATTTTTTTTGTACTCACTTTGCACAGCCAACTGTTGCTGATGCGCCGCCACGCGCTGCAAGTAAATGTAAAAAAGGACGTTTATTATAATATAATTGACATAGGCAAATAGTAAAGATAACATTGTATTTTAAATTTGCCGCGCACTGTTAGCTATATATAGAAGCAACAGTTATCCCATTAGCGAATACACACACCATATCACATTTAACAGTGAGCTGTTATATTTAAACCAGCACTCCTTCTGTTTGCTTACATTTGCACTTGCCAACATGTTGCGCAGTCCATGACTCTGCAGCGACTGCACATCCAGTGAATGGCTGCGGCCGCGTTGTGTTTTTGTTGTGGGCGAGGTGGGCGGTGGGCCACTGTTCGATGCATTCGTTGAGTGCGTGTGGCGATAAAGCCAACGTTTAACAGCAGACATGCTGATGTTATTATTACTGGTAGGTGTAAATGTTAAGGTAAGTATGCACAGCCGTTGAATGTTAAGTTCAGTCGAAATGCTTTTACATTGTACAAATATATGCTCCTCACTTAACAGTAGATGCAGTATTGTCGCTATTCGGCGCTAGGTGGCGCTTGGAGCGACAGTTGCCGTTAATTTTTCCGTTTTTTTTTTTTAATTTTGTTTTTAATTGGATTTAATTTGCCTGTCGAATAATATTGTTGTTCATTTTGAAATGCTAAATTGAAAATGCGTACTTGGATTCCTGAATTGCAAATTACGTATTCGTATATTTTTTAATTATAAGCGACTACTTTTGGTCGCCGCTTGCTTTTTGTTTTTTGCTCGAGGAAGCGAAAATTAAATGAAATAATTGTTGACGATCGTATATAAAAAATAATAAGAGTCTCTCTGACCATGAAAATGTCATCGTCTTTGTTTAAGAGGCGACTGATTTACAGAAATACTCAAGTGGAAAATATGCGATGCATGTTAATAGCATACATATAAACATACATATGCATGTATGTTAACACTCTCGCACACACACACTGTTATTGCACTCTTTGGGTCACACTGGCAGACGAATTAATCCTTGACCCTCGCGCAAGCTTGTAATTAAAAACAGAGAAAGAGTGGGAAAGAAGGGGGAAGAGAGTGAATAATAGAAAGAAGAATAAACAGAAGTGGAGAAGAAGCCACCACAGCAGCAAATGGTCTGTGACGCATCAGCCGTTTATTGAACGCTGGGCGGTAAAGCGCTTAACGGGCGTGGCAAGCTGCTGCTTAATTGCTTGTGGCGTGCTCAAAACAAAGTTCATTGAAAGGTAAACAGCAAACGAACTGACCCAATGAACGACATATCAAAAGACAAACTGTGAGAAGCAAAAACAGAGACAGAGAGAGAGAGAGAAATTGAAGAACAGTTAAAGGGCCACACTGAATGAGATGATGAGGCGAGTAGTGAGTAGGTCGAGCTAGGTGACAAATAGAACAAAAGAAAGAGAAAGACAGAGAGAGAGAGAGAGAGAGGCGATGCTAGAAAAGAGCTAAAGAGGAAACTGATGCTAAAAATGTTAAATGAGAGTTTAACATGTAAGTTAAGTTTAAGCAGCAAAAGATGCAACGATAAAAGTAAGAAGAAGAGTCTTGCTTGGGAAATTAAATTTATTTTCTCTTTTGCTTATCATTTGAGGAATATTTTATGCCAAGTTCATCAAATATACACATTAAAAATATATAATATATTGCTTTAAATTCTGTTTAGCAGATCAATTAGCAATTTTCTTTATTGCCGGCTCTACACATTTAGCGCCCGAAATTGAAAGTTTTGTAAAAACGTTTAATAAATAAAATCAACAGTAGTAAAAAGCAGACGTAAGAAAAAAACCAGCAACTATTTTTGGCTTCAGAATATTAGTCCAGTTGGGACTAGAAATATATATATTTTTTTTATTATTTACGCTTTGTTTTTGTTATTTCCTTCAGCGTGTCTATCTATGTACATACAAACAATGTGTGAAATAGGAATTTTGTAGCTGGTTGTATTTGTGTTTGCCCAGCGAGCGACAGACCTTAGTTTATATTATTCTTGTCAATATTTGCGCAATGTTCTTGGCGGAAAAAGTATGCACAGAAATATTAGAAAAACGAAAAACAAAACAAAACAGAAAAAAAAACAGCAGGAAAATAAGTGAAACAGCGGCAATAACAATGAAAAGGCAAACAAATTGAAAGACTATTCAAAATGTTAAAACTGTCAGAGTGTTGGCTAAGTTTATTGCAGCAAAATGTGGAAACCTATTTGAGAATCTGACATTAAAATTTAGCACAAGTTGTAATTCATCTAGCTAATTGCCTAAAATATTTTTACAGAGCTTTTAAACTCAATTTAGTTCCCTTAGAAAAAATCCTTTTTGATTGTGATTTATTAGAGCTTTAAAAGCTTTGACAATGAGCTTTCGCAGTAAAGAATAAACTTTAAGAAAAATAATGTGTAAAAGCTTCACTTGTGAAGCATTTGATCAATCTAAGAGTGCTTGAGCAGCTATTTAGAATTCTAAACAAGTCTAGCAGCAACGAAAATGCCTTAAATTCTTTTATAATTGCCTATTATAAAGTGACAACTGAAAAATCAAACAAATCTGATCAAACCAGACACATTTAATTAACAGGTTGTGGCCAAAAGTACACATCAAAAGTTGCGATAATTTCGATATTAAAAATGTTTCTAATTTTTATATATATATAGAAGTAGGCAGCTTAGAGCCAAATGAAGCCTATATGGCAAAATACGACAAATATTTGTGGCAGGGAGCAGAGAACAACAAAACGTTGTCGTCGTCAAGTGGTTGACCTTTAAACGTGTGCAATAAAAATAAATAAATAAATCTGTGAAAAAGATTCCGAGTGATTGTTGCGCACACTACGAGCGAACATATAGAAAATCTTTTCAAACTAAAACGCGCTCAGAACTGACAAATGATTAATTAACAAAGCAAGTACAAAGAAAATACAAAGCACAAATTTGCACAAACAACAATAAAAAAATATAAAATAAAATATTGCTTCCCAAAGTGCCCAAAATAAGTAATAGAATAGTGAGTGTAACAATTTCTACTACGAGTTGAGCACAAAATTTCATTTTCTCAACAATTAGAGGCAGTGAGAGGCGTTCGCATCCGATAAGTGGGCGTGTTATATCTCGTGTATATCCTCAAGTCTTTGGATAGGCAGGCAGGTGTAGTAATTGAGTAGAAGAACTTTATAAACTGATTTTATCCAAATTTCTTTACAATTAGTAACCTTTTTGATATTAATCCTATTGGACTTTTTTTTGAGTTGATAGAAAATGTATCGATTGGTAGTCTATATTTTTACTGTTGTGACTCTTACTGCTATCGGAAATCGATTAATATCGAAATATACGAGAACTCGTATTTCAAATTCTAACTCAAATAGACTCTGAGAAACATATTGATATTTATAGTTTTCTTCTGATCTTGAAATACTTTTGAACAAGCTAATTATACATTTATTACCAATTTCCTACATCAGCAATCTTGGCTAATCTTATCAAAGTCCAACTGCTCCCATCTTAAATACGTCAATTAATATTTTAGTGATTTGGAAAACATTCGAGTGATAATTGTTATTAAAATAGATCTGATTTGTTTGCGCTGATAATGGCAGCCAGATGGGCACAGATAGTGTCGGCGTAAGGTGCGCCTATATATATAATATATATATATATCAATTTATTATAGGCATTATTTCGAGTCAATCGATCAGGGATGGGCAGGGCAGGGCTTACACATCTGCAGTGTTTACCCTCTGGCAGGAGGAATCATTTATTTTGCGCGCTATTTTAATTATAATCAAATTCAGTTCGAGTCTGGCACAAATATATGGCTACCATATATATATATTTTTTTGTCAGTTCGTTGTCTTTTGTGTAGTATTAGCAGCGGGTCGTATCTTATCGGCTTTTCGGACCCTGCACTCTAAATTAAATTTCTTCTTTTCAAGTATTTCCATTTGCCGAAAGATAAAATTAAAAAAAAAGAGCGACTCTGATAACATTCGTGAATGTGGCGAAAAAGCTTCGCATACAAAAAACAAATAAATTCGTAATCGTTGTAACTGATTAAGTAATGTTTTCAGTAATGTTTAGTTTCATGTGCTCTGAAGGTTAGTCTAGTCAATTCTTTATTATTTTATGGAAAAATACTTAAAATTTCAAAGTTGTTGAATTTGCCAGACAGCTGCATGTTCTCAAAGTGTGCCGAACTATTTTGACACATTCCCTGAGAGGCGACAAGATAATTAAGTGGACATAAATGGGACAACCGATATAATTGTTGTGGACTATGAATATATATGTACATATATAAATAGTTTAGTTTAAAAAGTGAATGACTGAATGATGGGTTCAGTTCAAGTTCAGTTCACCATTAAAAAATTAATATTTTAAATAAAATATTTGTTGATGATGCTGTGAGCAAAAATAAAATGCTGATAAGAGCAATTATGAAGTATTTAGCAGGCAGAAGGGAGACTCTATATACAACTATATATATGCTTGATCAGCATCAATCAGCTAAGTAGATCTAGTCATGTCCAGTTTTTTTCATTTGTTTGACTGCCAGTGTAACGTTTACGAATGCACAAAGACAGATAGTTATAGCCTCAAACTTGGGTTAATTGTTTTCTCAATCATTATTCTAACACTTAGAACACATGTCAATATTAACAAGTTCACAGCTTTAGTTTTTAATCCAAATAACAAATCAAAATCGAGCCACTGAAAATAATATGCCACCCTGATTGTTGATAATATTCATGTGCTAATTGAGTCACGTATCAAATAAATGAATATGTGAATATCAAAAAGACACATCATTAATGGGCGAATACATCAAAACTTGGACAATATTGATATGGATTGTCAATGGGTTTGTCTGGCCGAGTCGTGTGAGTGATTCAACTAGCTTGTCTGCGAATAGCCTCAAAAGGAGAGAGAGGGCAGCATACAAATAGAAGGGGAGGGAAAGAGTGGGCAAATGTGGACTGAGTTAGACACTTTACAAATTAGCAGCTAGAAAAAGAGCTTAAAACATTAACAAACCAAGCAAAACAAAACAAAATCATCAACAAATTGTATGAATACGATAATAGGCAGAAAGAGCAAATAACAACAACAACAACAACAAGAATAAAATAAGCAAATACGTATATAATAATACAAATATACAAATACACGTATAGAATTGACACATCACATGTTTGCCATTTGTTTTTGCTGACAGTTTTTTTTTTGTTTTTTTTTTTTGGGCGGCTGTTTAGCTCATTTCCATGCGCCGTTTCAGTTGCTTAAAATGTTAATTAAATAAAATAAATAGCAAATGCAGATTAGAGGCATAAACTGATATAGATTTAGGCATATAGCGTGGGCAACGCGACTCAACCGTCAATGAACTTGAAAATTTACAACTTAGTGGGGAAAAATTTATTTTAAATGCAAAGTGGGCACACGCGGAAAAGATGCAAATGCGAAAAATGTTGCCTTAAACTGCAATTAGTGGGCGCAACAAATATATGTATCAAGAAATTTAAATGGTCCAGAGAATAGTTCAACGAAAATACTAATTTTAATTTGGCATAAAAACATTTAGCTGCCAAACTGGATTTCACTTAGCAAAAAATTTGTTGTTGTTTTTGTTGTTTTTTTTTATTGCTATCTTCAGTTGAAGCAAAGCTTTTAAAATGTTGTTAATATGTATAAAAATACATTGTATCACTTTTAAGATGACTTTTTTTTGTTGGTTTTTGTTAATTTTTGTTAATTTATTTAGCACGTCTATTGAATTTTACATATTATTATTGAATTTTATTTGATTTGTTAACGCATTTTTGTTTCACAAATTTAATTTTATTATAAGCCAGCAAAACAAACCAATAAATTTATTTAATAATTTTATTTTTTTTTTTCTATTTATTTTGGTTGTTTTTGTTGCCAAAAACACACACACACACAGACACAGAGAAAGACACACACAAACAGACACGCGCGCGCTGTGACGAGTTTGTGATTTCTAAAATAGTATTTAAAATAATATTAAAAGGCCTTTGCGTTCATTTTGTTGCTTATCAAATTGGACAAGAATGACGCGCGCGTCGCTCGGCCGGCACAGTCCAATTGGAAATGCAATTGAAAATAACAACACAAAAATCGCAGCGTGCGAAAGAAAACGGCAAAAATTGAAATGACGGCGCCGCCATCAACGACAACTCGCCGACGTATACGTAATACGGCTGCGCGTGGTGATGATGATGCCTGTGTGTGTGTGTGTGTGTGTGTGTATATATATGTGTGTGTTTGTGTTTGTTTTGTGGCACTTTTCCGCAAAGCCCAAAAACTGTAAGACAAGTGAGTGTCGCCAGCGAAGCAACTAAGTAGAGAGAGAAAGTTGAGCGAGCTTTTGCGATCGATGCTCGCACAGCTGTTAACGCGATCACCTGCTATCGCTGTTTGTTGTGGTTCTTGTTGCGGAGCTTTCACAGCCATTCCATCTTTCGCTCTTTTTTTCTCTCTCCTCTCTCTCTCTCTCGCTTTGTCTTTGAAGGATTTATTGTCGCTGGCGCAGAATGACGTGTCATGTTTTCTACGATAAAATTGAACATGACTTCTTCTGGGTTATTATTGTTATTGGGTTATTGTTCGATTACTGGTCTGATAAGCAAATGGTTAATGTTTTTACTTTGGCTTATCAAGCGAATTGAATCGAATTTGAAATCAAAATTGCTCATGTTTATATAAATAATGATTACAAATGACGCCCTAATGTCATCGACAATGGAAAAGTTCGCTGATATTTGCAGACTGTTTGGCTGTATTTCTCAAAGATTGCTATAAAAGCCGTAATAAGTAGATTACACAATAACTCGACAAGCTATAAATTATTGCAGTTTGGCAACAGTATGGGAATTACATGGCAATTTCAAATTGTGACGCTTTGTCCAAATACCAACAGGTATTGTAACTCTTTAAAATATTTAAGAAGCTTCTCAGTTCATCTATTACAACTTTTCAAATCTTACGTTTCTTTTTTGTAATATTTGAAGACAAGAATATCTTCAGTTTTAAATTTCGCGCCATACTTTTAAAAGCAAATAAACTTGTTCGCTATCTGTTAGACAACGGCTGGCTGCTAAATAACATTCTACAGCTGGTTCATGCACACACTGCAAATAAGTGCCAACCCAACACACCACAGAATGTTAAACTTAGCTGTGACACCTACCACTTTGAAATAAAAAAAAAAGGATTTATTTACTTCAATTTGTTCTTTCCAAGTTATACAACTAGTATAAAGGGTGTCTATTTTATATTCCAAGGGTTTTCCAACCAATTTCGGATTAGTTGTATAGTTTTTTTCTTTCTATATTGATTTACGAAGTTTATTGCCGGCTTAACTTCACTTGTCACTGTTTGCTAACATCGCGCGGCAATTGAGAAATGTTAAGCGTAGCTGTGACACCAACCGCTTCGTAATTAAAAAAAAACTATTAATTTACTTCAGTTTCTTTTTTCCTTGGTTATACAGCTAGTATAAAAAGGTGATTATTTTGAAGTCCATGGATTTTCAAATCGATTTCGGATTAGTTGTATATAATTTTCTTTCAATATTTTATGTTTTTAAGGCTATTTCCGCTTTCACTTGTATCTGTTCGGTAACAGCGCGCGGCAATTGAGAAATGTTAAGCTTAGCTGGGACACTTACCGCTTTGCGTTTGTCCGCCTCGCTGACCGCTGAATTTGAACGATGTCGAAACAGATCCATAACTTTGGTCATCGGCGATCGCTGATTGGCATTGGCATTCGGCCGTACCGCAGTCACCGTATGGTAATACTACAATATACATACAAAATAGAGATCAGTTTATAATAGCTGTTTGACTGTGGGGAATGGTATTTAACCGACCTGCGCATCGCTGCCCTGATGCAAATGAGCGCTGCCATCTTTGTACTTGCTCTTGGCGGAGACGGTGCCATCGGCATTGGTTATCGTTACGGCGGGATGCTGTCGATGGCCAAAGTGTTGCATGGCCACTTTCATGGAATTCATGAGACCGCCACCAGCACCACCGCCCGCGGCCGATGTTGCTGTTGCTGCTGCTGTTGCTCCACCCGCAGCTCCTCCCGCTCCCGCTGCTGTTGCTGGTGCTCCGCCAGAGACGGAATATGTGCTGCTGGTGGCGCTACTATCGGCCGAGGATGGATCCAGCAAATGTTTATCCTTGTGCCGTTTGGCATCCGATTTGGCACGCGGCCTAAAGACATCAAAGATCGTCGGCCGTCGGTTGGGCGACGCAATGCCATGCACCGTCGACTGATTGAGCACTGGCGAATCCTCGCCACTGCGTCGACGCTCCAGCGAACCGGAACGGGAACCACTGCCCACCATTCGTTCCGTGCTGCGTGAGATCTTCTCGCTGTGCCGATTGAGCTTCTCCAGCTTAGCCGTCTCCCGCTCAATGCGACGCGCCGTCTCCCGTTCCAGTTTGCGTGCCTCCTTCTCGCGACGCGACTGTTCCTTCTCCTGGCGTCTAAAAGGTTGCGAAATTATTAGTTAGTTAATGGCTAAAACGAATTTTACGGTTACGGTTAACTTACCGCTGCTCCTTCTCCATCTTTTTGTATGCCTTCTTGGCGGCCTTGGCATTGGGCTCCGCTGGGGCACTGGAGGGTCTGGAGCCGGGCACACGTGGCAGGCCATCCTGTTCCTGGAAGCGAACATGACGTTTTTTAGTTGGATTTGATTTGGTTGTCGTTTCACAATTATGATCAACATCTTCTTCTGGCTGCATGTTACTGCCAGCGCAGACCAAGACAAACTGAGCCGCAACTGGCTAAATGATAACTAAACCCGCCCACAGCGATTATCCAGTGCCTGTTTGTCCTGTTTTTACTGCAATTATGCCGAATTGTCTACAAATACAATTTGAACGCCAGCCCAACAAACAATCAACACAAGTCGCAATTTGCAATGACACAACAAGAGCAAGGAATAATAAAACCAACACCAATAACAAAAACGTTGAGGTATCGAATGTGTTTTATTAATTGGGCGATTCCTGTGGCGACCTTTATTCGAATTTAATCAATTTATTTATGGATTACGCAAAACTTTCGGAGGTAGGGGTTTTGGGTTCAGAAACTAACTGAGTACTTGTGCGCGCTGTGGTGAGTTAAGATTAGATTAAATAACAGGTTTGTGTAACAGCTAAGTGTCACAGCGGAGTGAGCAAGAAAGAGAGCACTGTTAATGCATAACAGCAGCTCAGCTCGGAGAGCAAAAGCGATCGAAATACAAAGTGCAAAAAAAAGAATTGTTATATTGTTAATGGGTCAGAGCTGAATAAACAATCAAATGGAGAACTTGCATAACAAACAGCAAGTAAACCATTGAAAGGGTAAGCAGAAGTAGAAGCTGACACAACTCGATTTGTCTCTATTTATTAAGATGATCGAACAAGAAGAGATATACAAAAGTTGTCAACAATTAAATTCAACATATTGTTCTAATCTTAATTAGTCAACAACTCAAATTATTACTGATTTGTGTGGATGATAAAATAAAAAACCAACAGGTATTAAAATCTCCTAGGTAAACCCCCTCCATCTATTTAATATTTATCGTTCGTTGGGCAATTTGCGACAAACCACATAATTTGTTCAATGGAATGCTTTTAGTGTGTCGAAGACCCTAACTAATGCCTGGCTCCATTTGATTACACGATATTTTCGACAACTTTCACAAACTGACAGACAGACTCAGACACAGACACAGCCAGAGACACCTGTATTTGATTTATTTTTAGCAAACTATTTAGCGGCTGTTTCACAGTCAACAGGTCAAAATCATCCGCTTTTATTTTTTCTCCATCTCTTTTTTGATTGTTTTTTTTTTTTTTTTTTTTTTTTGTGGTTGTTATTCGACATTTTAGCACTTAGCCGGAATGCCCAGTCACGTGCCCCGGGCTCTGTCAATATGCGTAGAATATTTATTGTTGTTGCTCTTGTCGTCGTGCGATGAGCTAACAACAACGCTAAATTAATGGACGGCTTTTAAAAGTATTCGACTAATCGACGATGGCGATGATTCCATTGCTTCCAATAAGCAAAGTGGGTTAAATGGATAAGGCAGCCAAGAAAAACAATATACAAAGAAAAGGAAAAGGAAAGCAACAAGTTCATGGCAATTGATGGGGATGCGTAAATACTCTTGCAGATCTATTAAATGAAACATATATACATACATATTTATGGGAATCAATACTAGAATATAATTGAAAAATATTAACAAAGTGTATTTTTCCAAATATATAATTGACTAAAATGCCAAACTGCGTATTTTAATAATGTAAAACAGAAATCTTCTTGCTTTTCATTGCTTAAAACAGAGTTCTTTTATATATAAAAAAAATCACTATAAATACAAATAGATAAATCAATTTGAATATTTCTGTAATTCGCTGCACTGTGTAAAAAGTATACAAATGAAAAACAGCAGTTCTTCAATGTCTTGTGGGATGGGATTGATGGGGTTGTGCATCAGCTGTTCGAGTAGTCAATCGAGTCAAGAGAATAGCAGTTATACGAGTAGATGAGTAGATGATATATCATTCAAGTGATTTGCATGAGAGGGCAGCACAAACGAACCATTTACATATTTATATACATATATACAGACATGTACTTGTATGCATTCAAGTAAGTATCTATAATTGGGTGTGGTGAGTGCCCCATTGACGTAATTGTTTGTCCAGACACAAACACACACATACACACACACACTCAACAGCAAGAAACAGCCTATGTAAATGTAGCCATATACATATATATGTATGTATATTGATATGTACATATGGTAATATTCTTTACATGCTACATGTGGCTACTCATGCATATACATAGGCATACATTGCGGATTGTGTACTGACTCTGCTATATATACATATATAGTGCGATTGTTCAGGTTACGAAAAGTCTTCCCATTGCCGCCTGCTGACAAATTGTGTCATTTGTCAGTTGGCTGATAAGCTTGCCACGGCGAAGTCAACAAACGATATCACACGAATTTCGCAAGTAGAATGATAAAAGAAAAAGTAGCAGAAACTCTAGACATCAAGTCAAAATCTGAATACTATATAATTATATACTGTACAATATAGTACATTATATACATGCATGTGGCATTATTTCCATATTTTTTTTACCTTCTTTTGTTCATATTTTCGTTGCAAAACAAAGGCATACATTTTTTGGGGGAATGCGGCAAGATCAGCGAACAAGTGAAATCTTTTTATTATCATTATGATGTCATAAGTAGTTCAAAAATAATTATTACATCAGACAAACTCTATGTCTAATTGGAAATTTGATGTACCTTTTGAAAAAGTGTATTGAGTATGTCTCTGAAAAAATGACAGACATTTTTGTATCTAAACTGCTCGAGAGCTGATACTTCAGACAGTTAAAGTATCTGCACATCGAATGGAAGATTACCAAGGGTTTACTTTTGTAATTTGAAGATGATAATGCAATTCACAGATCGAAGAATAAATACACGCAACGAATACAGGAATAGATCTAAGATTAAACAGGGATAGGTTTACATTGAAAAATTTCCGTTCAAACTCTATTTTTATGCACTTTGTTTGCTTAAAACTTGGCAAAACGTGTCCATTCAGTGGACTTTTATCATCCATTTTATTGATATTTCGCAAATAATGATTGCTGAAATGACGTCATTTAACGATGTGTTAATTTGAAGATAAAAGACAACTCTGAACTCATTTTTTTATGAGTGACGTTTTCATGACAATTTCTAGACATTATTTCCGAGGTGTTTTTTTTTCCGTCTGCCTTTCGATTTGCGGTTTACTTGTTTTGTTAATTTGATTTATGGGAATTTTGTGATATTTTTGGCAGGTACTTTTTTTTATCGGCGATAGTTGAACGATTACTTTTAAAGATTATCGCATATTCGTTTAGTTTTCCAAGAAAAAATTTATGTAATTTTCAAGTAGTTCCATCTTTTATACACAGTAGATTAAATAATGGAATATAAACTGTCTATCGATGCCATTCCATTATTTAAATGAATAATTATAGGAGAATTTCTGAGAAATCTCCGCACACATTTTTTCATATGCAAACTTACATCTTCTGAGACAGAAACCGAAACCGAACTCGAGGCGGTCAATTGCCGCGAAGGACTCGTCGTTGAATTGCTGCTCTCGTTGCGCAGCATGAGGCGTGGCATTGTGGAGGCGCCACCCAACGAAACGGGTCGCCTTAGAGCTGCTGCCGCTGGACTGGGCGCATCGTTGGCATCCGAAGTTTTGGGATTGGCGGGCGCACGACGTATCCAGATCTCGTCCAGTTCACGTTCGCTGGGCGTGCGCGGCTTGTTGGCCAAACTGTTGCTGGAACTGATGTTATCACAATTGAGACTTTGGTTCTGGCTATTCCCAACCAGCGAGACATTGCTCTGCGAGGGTGCACGTATCTCCACCAGCGATGAGTCGAAGAACTGCTTGGAGAGATGCGGTGCAGTGACTGGAAACCGATTGCTGCCATAGCGCTGCGAGAAGAGGCCCTGCACGGAGGAGTAGCCGCCAAAGCTGGAGGGGAAACTGATGGTTTGTGAGTTGGAGCTGGGCTGCAGTTCGCGCAGCTGTTGCGCCTCCTTGCGTAACTCGGGCGTCTCCTGGGCCCGCGACACCTTAAACTTGCCCATGATAATCATTGGCGGCTCTGTGGCATGGGGCAGCTGCACGGGCGAAGGCAGCGCAGCAACTGCTGGCGATGCAGGTGGCGATACAGCTGGCAACGCTGCTGCTGGTGTCGCCGGTGTCGGCGTCGGCTCGCTGGACTGCAGCAGCTCTTTTAGTGCCTTGGGCAAAATGGTGGCTGGGATTGGCGGCGGTGGTGGTGGTGGCGGCGGTGGTAACGATGCAGCATATGGCTCCTCAATGTTGCGCGTATTGATGCGATCGATTTTATGCATAAACTGCTGACGCAAACGTTCCAGATCCTTAAACTTCTCCTTCGAGGCGGCATCCTGCGGCGTCGGCGGTCGCGGCGGCGGCGCCTTCGAGGCGCGATCCAATCGAGGCGTCTCATTGCCTGCAATCGGTGGTGATTTATCACCAGCATCATCCTCATCGTCCTCCTCCTTGCACTGAGAGAGGCGACGTCGCTCGATGAAAGGTGGCAACAGATATGGCGGACGGTGATGATAGATATCGTAACGACCATCGCTGGCTTTGGCAAACTTGGTGTTCAGATTGAGGGCACCCACGATGCAGGTGTGCTCGCCAATTTCATCAGCATCTGCATCGGCATCGGCATCGTCGTCATCATTATCGTTCTCATCGTCGCTGCTGCTGCCGCTGCTGCTTTGAAAATCAAACGAGTTGCCACGCGGCAACATCGTCTGCATCTCCAGCTCCATTTGCGGCGTCAACTGTTGACTGTACTGCAGTCCACCAATACCGGCCAGCTGGCTCAAGCTGGAAGCTGAGGAATCGGTCGCTTGACCATTGGCACTGGCCTCCGAATCCGATTCGTAGCCATCGCCCACCGCCTGCTCCAGATCATCCATGGTGGACTCGAAGGCGCACTCAAAGCTATCCATTTCATTGTTGAGGTACAACGACTGCTCCCTTTCCCTATCCCTATCCCTATCCCCCTCACTCTCCGCCTCCCTTTCCCTCTGCCCCTCCAACTTCTTGGCCCCGCCATTCTGCTGCTCCACGTGCTCACTCATCGAGGAGGCATTTGTTGTGGTGTCGCTGGTGTGGTTTGTTGTCGCTGTTGCAGCACCTGATTTTGTGACCGGCTGCTGTTTAACATTATCCTCGTTGTTGTAGTCGCAATTTGTGGCCATTTGCGATTTGCTATTGGGCTGAGGCGTTCTTTGGATGTTTCTAGCTTTCCTTTTCTTGAGTTTAGTCTTCCCTTTGACGACTGCCGCTCTCCAAAATTTCACTCAGTTCGTTATGCAATTGATTTCATGTGGAGCGACATTGGTTTGTTGCTTGGAATCTGTAAAAGAATTGGCATATTCGTATTTTGAGCGACTACATTCGAGTTTTGTAGCCTTCAGCTTTCGATTGTGTTGACATGAGAGAGCGCAGAGAGAGAGAGAGACAGAGAGCGAGAGAGAGAGAAAGTTAAAGATGGGTATTCCCCATTTGACACAGATAAAAGATTGTCTCATATATACTAAAGTTCGATTAGAGACTGACTAAGAAGACCTTTTCCAAATTCTACATCTTTCAGTGAAATATATTTTCAAATTTCAGTTTTTCAAGTGTTTGCAGCATATGCAAAAGACTGCCACTAAAGCAACATATTTACTTCATATGCTCAGTTGATGATTTTTAGTGCTTCATAATTAATAAATTACTGCCTGTCCCAGCAAACGAACCACAAAGCATGCCACATGAACATGTTGTCAAACTTTAAGATACTTTTGTAGCTGCCAAAGCTCAACACAAAAAAGAATGTGTTGCACGAGGTGAAGGTCGACAAACAACGGCATTAAAGCATTTGGAAAATGGCATTTTGTATTTCTGTTTCTGTTTCTGTAATTTTTTCGTGTTTCTTTTTCGGATTTCTTAATTGGGACCAGTTCGAACCGAGCATTCGCCATTGAATCGGAACAGTAGCCAAAGAAAATACCCACACAGCCATACACTTAAATGTATATCTTGGTGCATGGACTGACTGAATGAGCAAAACAAAGCGCTAACAAAGCTAATTCAATTATTTACGCGTCGTCAAAAAAGAAGAAATAACAAAACAAGAAAGCAACAAAAGGGGGAATATGAAAAGCATATGGCAAGCACACTTATGTATTTACATACATACATACATACATACATACGCGTATTTCCCATCTAACAATCCAAACAAAAAAAAAATATATAAACATTGCTATTTAGTGAGTATTTTCGGTGAGTCAGAAAGTGGAGGAGAATTTCGCTTTTGTTTAGGGAGATTTCACAATAAAACTTGGGCTAATATTAGACAAGACAAGACAAAACACACTCCAGCAAATTGAGTGAAATAGTCAAGCATGCTTGATGTGTGCAATGTCAAACGAAATATTCAAGTTTGCATAAATTAATAAATGAATCCCTTATGCAATATATAAACATACATATTCATCCATTACCTGTCCAGCAATGCAATATAATATGCTGATGCTTGCGGCGCAGGGGGCGTTGCATTTGGAATATGTATTACTAAAAGCCAAACCGCAATTGAGCAAATCAAATGCATGCGATACACCCAGCAATTAATGACAATTAGTAAAACATTTTCCTTTCGTTTATTTTCCGCATATTACATGGAAGGGGCGTTGTTGTTGGGAGGGGAGCAGGGTTTGGCTCAAGTTTGCGGTATTTTACAAAAGTTTCTGTGGCCATCACTCCACGCCATCAACGCCAGCCAAGTCGAGGGAAATGAATAATTTAAGCATAACACTTCAACTGACCGACTATGGCTATGAGTCACTTACTTTTCCGAAAAGTTGAACAACGCTAATTGCACACACAACTTAATACAGACACACAACTGCACATTTCAGAGAACTGGAAACCGAAGTGCAATTTCAACTGCAAATGAGTCTGTCAGTTTAAGCTTTAACTAGAGATGATCACGTGTCAAGTTTTCATTCGATAAGAAATTATATAAATATTTGTAAAATTTATTTTAATTTTATTTCGATCACGAACAAAAATTGAGTATAGTACAGTATGCAAGAGTATTTAAACTGCGGCTTGGCTAGGATGGTCTCTACCACTTGTTATATATAGAAATGCTAATAAGTCAATGTATTATTATGGTTCTAAATCGAAGATTGCATTATCATATTATTGACTTCCTATCTTCGTTTCGTAATCGAAATGAATCCAATCTCTTGTTGCAATCGTATTACGAACAGCTGCTGCTGTATATTAATTGTAACATTAACAATCACAAATATAGAAACGCTAATAAATCAATGGAAACAATATTTCAACTTTCGAACTTCTTAATGTATTTTTATAATGGTTGTAAGTCTAAGCATGCATTCGAATATTATTGCTTATTGCTGTACTCGATGCGTGTTCGTGTCGTGTCAGAAGTAATCGAAATGATAATTGCATCTCTAGTTGCAGCCGCATATCGTAGTAATACGGACAGCTGTTTGCTGTCTTTTAATTACAAGCCATTAACAATTGCATGAGCCACAAATAATTGCTGGCAAATCGAACGTCATGTAACCGCTTTCGACTCGTTGCATTTATCTATCTAGCTATTAATCAATGACGCGCATCTAGAGACTTGGGCAATACGCCGGTCCGGCTTGGCTTCGGGCCAGACAAACTGGCGTCTTGTCTTTCAACTGAAATTCAACTTAACGTTTTTCATGCGGCACCTGCAAATCAAGCAAACAATACATAATATATATGGCATGCTTGGTGTTTCAAGTTAAAGCACAATTTGAAAATGCTGTCATACTTGAAACTTGAAACTAGGGAAGCATAAGAAATCGTTGAGTCTCTGATACTGATTTAAATGCTTGTAAAGGTCTAGTAGAAAATTGTCAACAAGTTCAAGCTTGAATTGCAGAAAGTAATTGATTTAAAAATCATATTTAAATTCTTCACTAAGTCAATAGCTAAACTTTAATTAACGCCAATATGGGAAAGGGAAATAAAAAAGTGAAAATAAAATAAATGTACGTGTTCTGTGGCCTTTTGCCAGTTTCCTTAGCTCCCACACAGTTCGTGTTGTAAACGGTTTCAGCTCAATTTCGAAGGCAATGCATAATTACAAGTATTTTAGACTTTGCATGCATATTGATAACATTGAAATGCTGACAATAAATTATTGTAGTCACGTAATTAAAATAACTCTCCAATTGAGCAGAGAACAAAAACAGAGTCTAGCCAAGCAAAATATTTGAAATGAATGGCATTCAAACATTTTTCAATTTTATATTTGGTGCTCGTTCAATACAAAAAGGAAAAACAAATAAATATTTGTATAAGGATGAGTTCTTGATGAGGCAAGGTACTTGATATAATTATAAAAAAAATAATGATAAATGAACTCAAGTGAAATTCAAATGCAATGCAAATAACAATCAGATACAAATGTGTGAAAAATAAACAAATGCGGTTGGCTTTGAATCTGTAAAATACACCCGACTTATGAGTGGGCTGCAAATGATGTAAGACTCTAAGCTGATCAGAGCTTATGCAACTGCTGACATGTGAGTGCTTGTTCGAAAAGTTCACAGTGAATTGAATGATTCACTTGAATTGATACCAAATGTCAGCAGATTCTGGCGCATTTGTGAACGGCACACGTTGAAGTAATCAATTAATGGCTGTCACACGATATGAGGCACACAAAAAAAAAAGACTCAAAATCAATTAATTAAAGTGTCTGACCAATGGGACGAAGAGGAAGACAGAGCCACTGAGAGAGAGAGGAGGGACTATTTGACACAAATGCTGTATATTTTCTTTGGGTTTATCTCAGATTTAACAATGCGGCAGCATTGTAAATGTCATAAACAAATATAGAAATTAGCAGGGTAATGAAGAAATTAGTGGGCGTCGGTAGAAGATCGTTAATTGACATAAAAGTGCCGACAACTTGGCAAGTTGTCCGTTGGCGTGAAGTGAGTCGCAGATTTAAAGTTCCTAATGCAATCCACAGACTCAAGGATGACGATCAAAGCTAATTTAAAGTAGTTCAGTTTGAAAGAGTGAGAAAAAAACATGAAAGAATGGATACGTTATGTAAAATACCCTTGAAGAGCGGAGTCAAACAAATTTCTGGAAAAAAAAAACCCAAGCGATTGTTCCTTTGAAAGCTATATAATAGAGTAGTCCAATGCTGATTGTTTTGTGTTAAAATTATGGGACCATAAAAAGATAAGATCATGTTAAATAATAAAGTTTCTTATACTTGTTCCTATGGGAGCTATAAGACATAGTAGTCCGATCTCGATAAGCAAAATGACACGCATGGCTGATCAGTTTAGTTTATACAAGAACAAATCGTTTGATTGATTGTTTCCATGCAGTAAAAGAGTCATTAAGATAAATTAAAAATTGAGGGTTTATATAAAAGATCAAGAATATATGTATTTATATATATACTTTGTGGGATCAGACACGTCTCCTTCAATGCGTTATAATATTCTTGACAAAATTATAATCGTCATTGCTCAATCGTTTGCTTTTAGTCGGTCTCCCTCGAGATATAAAATATTCGTATAAGTGTATTCGTCATAAGTGGTTTCATATCCGAGCAGCAAGAAATATTTCAAAGTTTAATTGTACATTTCAATTTCAATTGCAATCTTCTGAAGGCATAACAAATATTTTTGTTTGTATGTAAGTATATATATATGTATATGTAAACTTAATTGAATAAGAACAGAACGTTTTGATAATTAATATGCGGAGCTTTGTAATTTGAAATGCCAAAGCAGGCAGTTGCACAGTTAGCTGCTGCTGAGCAATCTGAACAATCCACTGCAAATAATCACTGGCTCAGCAGAAAAGCACGAGTTTATTTAGAGGCCGGAACTGGGGCTTGGGCGTCTGAAACTGCGACTGAGGGTTTTGCCATTAACTTTGGGTTTGGGTCTGTTGCCAAGCGCATTTGCATTTATTTCGTTGTTTTTATTTATTTTTTCTTTTTTTGTTGGTTGTTTTTTATTATTTTTTCATTCAACTCGTTTTTCTGTGTCACTTTAAAAGATATGTGTTGCTCGAGCACTCATTCGCTTGGTTAAGTCGTCTCAACGTTAGAGTCACGTGTTTATTTTTTTTATTTATTTTTTTTGCCATTGTCTGAGTTTCGATTTCGTTGTTTGGTTTTCATGTCTTATGCAGTTTCGAATTATGTTTATGTCGCCGAGCGACAATTTGACGACAAACGAGCACCTTACACACTTACGTTTCACCTTCTTAAATGGTCTTGGGGCGTAACGGCCAAGGTACCAGCCAATCTATGTATGATGTAACACACACGTAGACTGAGTCTAGAGCCGAGAAACACTTCATATCAGCTTGCAATATGCGGTCAAGTGAGTCGAGCGATGAAAATCATTTCACTAATGACTGCCAAAGGGCTCATATGAAGAGCGAGACTCTGATGAAAAGCTGTATGGCAACTATGCCTAGTGAGTTTAAGTTCGACTGTATTTGCTATATAGAAATGTAAATACCCGCTCAGCTAGGACCTTGACTATATATAGCTTATGCGATGAATGATTGAAAGCAACTTTGAAGATAATCTGGCATTCTGCCATAGAACTCTGTACAATATGGCAGCCGTTGAATACTTGATATGATTTAACAAGTTAAAACACACTAGTTGAGACAGCTTAGCTAGCAAATACATTGAACTCAGCTTCTAAGTACATAGTTTGTTTAAGATGCACATTCGTTTTGTTAATTATCAGTTATCAATGAAATAAAACAAACTCGAACAGCATATGGTATACGCCAATTAATACTTCAAATTATAAATCTCTTCATTGTTCCATGCCTGTACGTGTTAATAAAATTATAGTTTTCCAGCGAAAAATAAGACAATTTATAGGTACTACATTTTGTGCCATCGAATAGGCTGTTTTCACAACTAATTCAAATGATTGTTCATAATTGCCATCTAAGTCTTTTCAATACTAATAGTCGATAAATACTTTACTTAAGGTTATTTACAGTATTTAACTCAGCTGCAATCAGCGTCACTTTGCTAAGGCATATATATATATATGTATGTATATATAAATGTATTAATTATGGAATATTCGCCAGGTGTCGCATAGGTAATGGCAATTGATTCAAGCTTTCCTCATCAAATGTCAAATGTGTTTTATATTATTTAACCTTGCCCCTTCGTCAATTTCAAAGTCGTGCGATCTTCGAGCAGTGAGGCATAAACAGTTGTCCGTTGCAGCCCATTTAATCCCACCTCTATTATAGCCCACATGCGTATACCCAACTATGTATATATATATATATATATATATATAATTATATAATAAATGCGGGCGTTACGCACGAATGAGACCCGATTATAGCCCTCAGATGCCAGTTTTGGTCAGCGGTCGTTATCGTTATCGTTTTTATTACTAACGTTGCACGAATTGCAAATCGGTTCGAGTTGATTGATACTCGTTTAGATTTGATGCGCAGTTCATTCAACTGGTTTTATAAGCGTTAGATCATTTGCTAATATCTCTTATTTTGCTTCGCTTAACAGCATCAATTGCGTTTTACACAGTTTCTGGTAAGAGCAACAATTGAACTAGTTGAGCTGGCCAGAGCTTTTTTTTTTGGAACTTTAGATGTGATTAGAGTATAGCTGATTCGCAGTGCTGGCGCTATGTTATAAAAACTAAATTGGTAGAATTAAAGTGTAGGCACTGCTCGAATTACAGATGCTCTTTACAATCTTTAAAGTAGTGAAGTATGGCTTGGTATTTTATCATAGTTTAAAATTGTCATTGAATGATAATAATAATGACAACAGATTATTATAGTAATTTTTGATTTTATATTGGTGCATCATATTTGTATTTCTTCTACTTTACAAAGCTTTTTGAAATTAGTAATAAGATGAAAAGCAAGCAATCTAAATTTTGTGACTCAACTATTACGCTATAGATTAGATTAGAAGCGATTCATAATGTTACAGCAGCATGTAAAAGACCTCACAGATCTGTAAGAATTAGAATTAGAAAAATAGCGATGAGAAATATTATTGATTTCACACTTAATGCCATTTCGCCAGCGATTATTGTAGAGTAATGTTGGCAAGGGATTCGCAGCTTGTAATATTCTCACAAATGCCCACCTATGATATCTATTTTATTCTCCAATTGTATTTGCAATACCAAGCATATAAATATAATTGAATGGGCGGCTTATGGATGGGCTGAGGGAGAGGTGGGGTAGGCTATTAACTACAGTTGCCATATGCGTTGAGAGCGAAATTCGCACGTAAGCCTTGTAGAAGCAGACTTCAGAACCTAGGCGAGCATTGGGCCGATTCAATTCAATTTTCAATTTTCAGTTGTCAGTAGTGCGGCGGCAGCAGTGAACGGATAACATCGCAATAAGCGATCAAAAATAAATAGCTTAACACTTCAAATCTTGAAGCTAGTCAACACAAGATGCAGGTGCATCGCACTAAATTACTAGCAGCATCCGGTGGCACATTGCTATTTGGCATTCTATTCGGCTGGGTTCTATTTCCACAAATCTTGAAATTTATGATATCAAAGGTGTTTGTTTTGTGTCTGCGTGTGTGTGTGTGTGTGTGTGTGTGTGTTCTTGAAAAGTATGAAATGGAACTGTTTTTGCATATTTACAGCAAGTTACGCTCAAGCCAGGCACGGATGTACGTGAACTTTGGAGTGCGACGCCATTTCCCTTGCATTTCTACATCTACGTTTTCAATGTGACCAATCCCGACGAGGTCGCCAACGGCGGCAAGCCACGTGTGCAAGAGGTCGGACCGTTTGTCTTCGAGTGCGTTAAATATATATATATGTATATAGATATATATACCATAGTATCTGGTGTAAAGTGTTGATTCTAAAGTTGAGCTTGTTATCACAGTGAGTGGAAGGATAAGTACGATTTGGAGGACGATGTCGTTGAGGATACGGTATCCTATAACATGCGCAACACATTCTTCTTCAACGAGAAGGCCTCGAGTCCGCTAACGGGTGAGGAAGTGATTACCCTTCCACATCCATTGCTACAGGTAAGTGCCCACTTTCATAAGCGGAGCAAATATATTTAAATCTGTAGCTTATTTGTTGATCTGATTGGAATACAATTTAAAGAGGGGTCGAGTTAAAATATTTAACAACTAATAATTTAAAACTAACCAAATAGTTTTTTACTAGTTAATGCATATAATTCTTCCTTTTTTTCCGACACTTTCAAGTTATACAAAATAGGTTTCTTTTATATATTTTTAAAAATAATTTTCCAATTAATTCAAGTTTAGCATCTGACTAAATATAACTACATATCTACCCAAAATTCATAGAAACCCTAATTCCATTTTTATTAAGAATCTGAAATGCACTTGAGCATTGAATGGTTCACATATGTACATAGTTACAATACAAATCGTTTGATAAAACCTCGTAATCCATTGTTAGACAACGAAAGCCTTGTGAATTATGCAAATCACTTAACTTATATTCCCAGCAATGTCAAAATTAACTTATCGCTGTAAAAATAAATAGCTTAGACAGCAAATTGCTGAAAAAAAAGAAAGAAAAAAACATGAAGATAATAAATTAATGACCCGTCGCAGTGCGAGTCAATACGTCTTGATGAGTGCAATAACGTTTCGGGTGGCAGCCGAGTCAGTTTCGGTTTTTATGTGCTAAACGTGTTGCAATTAGTTGGCTATTTATCATATGCACGTTGATCGGACTACTCTGGCCTGTGTTCATACACTTACATATGATTTGAATTCGACAGTCCATTGGCATAAGCGTACAGCGTGAGCGAGCGGCAATGATGGAGCTGATTGCCAAGGCACTGGCGATCATCCTTCCGGATGCGAAACCATTTCTGACCGCCAAGTTTATGGATTTATTTTTCCGTGGCATCAATGTTGATTGCTCCTCCGAGGAGTTTGCTTCCAAGGCACTGTGCACGGTTTTCTACACGGGCGATGTGAAACAGGCCAAGCAGGTCAATCAGACGCACTTTCTGCTCTCGTTTCTGGGTCAGGTGAGTGATATGAACTATGAACTCCATAATGTACGAAAGGAAGTTTTTCTTAACGGATTTGCCAAAACAGTTAATCTAAATTTAAAGCAGCACACGTATTCACTTATTTGAAAAAGAAGTGTTTCAAGTTTTGGACAAGCACTAAATAGAAAGACCAACGCAACTTAAATATGGCATAGTCTCTTCTAACCTGTACATATCTTTCACTTAACGCTTCCTTTTAAAATCTCCTTGATTCCCCAGAGCAATCACACAGATGCTGGTCGCTTCACCGTCTGTCGCGGCGTCAAGAACAACAAGAAACTGGGCATGGTCGTCAAGTTTGCCGATGAACCGGAGTTGGACATGTGGCTGGGCGATGAGTGTAATCGTTTTGTGGGCACCGATTCCACCGTCTTTGCGCCTGGCCTAAAGCGGGAGGATGGTTTGTGGGCCTTTACACCAGACCTTTGTCGTTCCCTGGGCGCTGTCTATAAACACAAATCATCATATCATGGCATGCCTTCACTCAGATATACCCTAGATATGGGCGATATACGTATGGATGAGAAACTGCATTGTTTCTGCGATGATCCCGAGGATTTGGAAACTTGTCCACTCAAGGGCACCATGAATCTAAATCGCTGCGTGGGCGGTCCACTAATTGCCTCTATGCCGCATTTCTACAATGGCGATCCGAAGCTGGTGCAGGATGTGGATGGTTTAAATCCGAACCAGAAGCAGCATGAAGTCTTTATTGACTTTGAGCCGGTATGTTACAGGAAGAGTAAAACAACACTGGTAAACAGTTTTTATATTATATCAATGAGAAAAAGTCCAGAGATATTTTTGCTTTAACTCGGTCAGTTTCAGTGCCATCTACGATCAAACCAAAAATATTTTTTTCACTTAAATCAATATTTGCTGCACTTTGCAATAATGAATTAAAGTTTGAGAGTTTTCATCTTTTAGAGCCATAATTATTTAGCTGTTATATTTCCAAGCATAGTGTATCAAGTAGTCGTACTAAAATGCTCATATTGTTTTTGGCAGATTTCCGGTACACCGTTTCAGGCTGCCAAACGAATGCAGTTTAATATGGACATGGAGCCCGTGGAGGGCATTGAGCCATTGAGGCATCAGAGGAAAGTTATAATGCCCATGTTCTGGGTGGAGGAGGGTGTGCAGCTGAACAAGACCTATACCAATATGGTTAAACATACGCTCTTTCTGTGAGTAATAACTAACTGAGAATTGCAAAACAGAAATTAACTTAACTTTTCCTCCAAACAACAGGGGTCTCAAGTTTAATGCCGGACTACGTTGGATGTTGATTACGTTCTCATTGATTGGTCTAATGTCGGCTGGCTATTTATTCTTTAAGGAGTCAGACAGTCTGGACGTAACCATGCCGCCAAAGATCATCAAGGAGTCGAACAAGGTGGCCAATCAACCAACATTTGCAAAGCAACAGCAACATCAAGATCAGCAATCACAGTCACAAGCTACAGCAGCACCCAATGTGCCCATACCCGGCGTAGATCTGTCCAATGTCAAAGTAGAGCTCCGAGAGCGCTTCTAAGACGACTCGCCTTAATACCATTGTTGTTGTTGTTGTTGCTTTTGTTGTTATTATTGTTATTGTATTCTATAGATTTTGAAAAAAAAGCACCTGTAGTCCAATGAGCACGCGCTAATAAAGTGGCCAACGAAATGCGACATCAGCTGTTCAACGGAGCCGTCAAACTGGTTTAGGCCAAGATCGATGCACTTGACAAGCGTCGCCAATGATTGCCGCTCACTGAGCCCAGACAAGAGATGAATGACAAGAGCTCTGCTCTCAAATGACACAAATAATAAATGTAATGTGCAACAATCGGTTCGATCATTGCTCGTTTGTCTGTTAACTGTACTCATACCTAATGAGATTTATTCCAAGCACCAACACTCATAAGGTCTTTGGAATTGAAATGATGACTAGACGACTCACAAAACCAGAAACGATCAATGAATATCAATCAATATGTTTTTTGTCCTTAATAAAATGTAGTTTTTTAATAAACTTTGTCTATCATGAGCATAGTTAAAATTAGCTAATCCCAAAACTGGAATTGATAAACAATTGATGACTGCTTCTCCAAATTTAACTAAATTTGTTAACAACATTTATTAGTCAACTTGTTTACACGCATTCAATGTTATGTTAAGCTATCAAAATCAGCGTCAAACCACAGCAGCTCTTCGGGCTCCGACAACTCAACGCCAGGACACTGCATGGCATACCCTTCAGGATGGTCAAGTTGACTATCAAATACGTTGATATGTTTGGGCAATGTAGAATCACCCAGGAATAATTCCAATTGTGCACAGAGGCCAACGTTATCATCTATATTGTGATTATTGAGTTGAGCAAAACCTTCTTTGATATAAATCTCTCGCTGCTGATCATGCCATATGTCAAGCACCTTAAGTTCGGGTAACTCGGATAAAGTTTGATCGGGCCAATTTGTAGAGTTTTCATAGGATATGCTCAGGCGTTCCAAGTGCTGGGCGGGCCAAGGTTTAGGCATAGCTGGCAGCTTGGTCAGGCCTGTTAAATCCAAGTCGAGCAGATTGATGGCATTATGCAAAAAATCCAGATTTTGTAGCTGGGAATTGCTGAGCAGCAGTTGTTGCAGCTGCTCGGGTTGATCAAATTTGAGACTTTGTAAATGGCAATTGTCCGCCTGAAGTATGCGTATATTGCCAGCTAGATGAAGTCTCTTCAGCTGGGGATTATCAGAGATAATTAGACGTTGTACAGTTGGCAAGGCATTGGCTGCAATGTGCTTCAAGCGATTGCCACGTGCCGAGAACAGTTGCAAATCGAGCTGATTGGCAAATAGTTGTGCAGGCAGCTCAGCTAATTGATTATGGTCCAGATTGAGTTGCTGGAGCTTGGCCAGAGCAGCAAAAGTTTTCGATGGCAGTCGTTGCAGTTTATTATTGGCTAAATCCAATATCTCCAGCTTTGTGGCCAGCGCAAAGGTTGAGGCATCTATTGAGTCTATCAAATTGTCAGCCAGTTGCAAGATCTTGAGGTTTGTAGCGCCTTCAAAGCACTCGGGTGCCACTTGTTGCACTTTACAATCCTGAACATCAAAATGCTCCAGTTGTTCTAAGGTCTTAAAAACATTCAAAGGAAATTGTCTCAAATGGGAATTGCGTAGCACTAATTCCGTGTATCTATCCAATTTCTTTGCGATTTCTTCCGTAAAATATGCAACTTCCGTTTCGAGTGGATAGTTGAGTTCCTCACACAGATTCTCAGTACATTTGAGCGTTTTAACAGACACTTGTCTGGGACTCGCCTCACAGCTGTTGAGCATCAGCCACAACAACAGATACAGATGGGCTTGTGTTGACATCTCCACGCTAGACAAATGCTTCGGAAACTGAACTATGTCAACGATTTGATCAGTCTTTTTAATGCCCGTATTATATTAAAGAGCCAAGCAAAATGATCAACAAAACAATGCTAGACAAAAACTGGTATTGAAACAACAAACAAACAAAATATATATAAAAAACAACTGGGCCCAACCACTTTTAAATTAAGCTATTTACGCAAAGATTGACAGAAATATAGAATAAAAATAATCATTTAAATATAGCTAAACAATTTGGTTTGTAAAAAGTAAATCGAATAAGAATTGACTGCTTAAATGTTGGCACAATAATTTATAAGACGCATTTGACTACCTGTACTAGACCATAAGTTGATAGGTATTATCGGTACATTTTTTAAGATCAATTCAACCATATTTTCAATAGCTCTAAATAACAACAAAATTTTCATTAAAGAAAAAAAAACGGAACACATAAAAAATAAATTTGTTTACATTCTACAATACAGAATTGTCTTACACAATATGTGGTTAGTCATTGCTATTTGTTTTTTAATATCAGATCGTTTAAGAACATGTGCACACTTGCAGTGTGTCTAAGGTTCGTTAATATTTTATGTAGTCGTGATTTTAATGGACACCTTTACCGGTCACCTTGTGCCAGAACGTTAGAAATATACCGACTGCCAGTTTATGCCGAAAACCCGAAAGGCTAATAAAAAATTTATGAATGTGCAAAATGAATGTTCGCCACATTAAGTTCTATACAACAATCATTTTGGGCACAGCCCCGGCGATAAGCACGTCCCGAGCACAGTGCCCGGAGACGGAGCATGCCAACAATATTAAATTGAGTTGTGGTGGCACTCTTTTTCCCTTTATCACTCTCTCTCTCTCTCGCTCTTATACGTCATGTTATGTGGGCCAAGTTCAGTGGTCAGCATGGCTACCATAATTTCGATAAGCTCGGAGCAGAGAGATATGGGGATTTTGTGAAGGAGCTGCCCGAAGCAAGTCGATTATTGTATTTGAAATTCAAAATGGGCTTGTTTTCAATTGATAACGTCGAAAGGTTGAAGATATAACTAAGAGTTATTTGAAACATGTGTGCGATTTTCTCAAGACTTGGACTTGGAAACTCTCCATTAGTATGATACACAAAATTGAGCCACTGATAAAGAATTGAACATATTGTTAAACTTCTGCAGCAGTACACCTCACCTGATGGATACATTGCAATATATTAAATCACTTTTTAAAAGAAGGCTTACGTGAATTTACCATCTAATTTAAGAATACAAAAGTTAAGTATTTCACTTATCTTCATCCCAAAATAAATACGTCACCCACTCGATTCATTTGTATACTGTTAAAGATTACAGTCAATGATGTCATATTAAAAATTGACGGTGTTCGTTTAACAATTTTATTGTCATTTTCGGCTTAATCTAAGGCATCCAAAACAATTTAAGGGAAACACCAAAGCTATTATGGCTAAACCTTGTATAAAAGTGAGCTGAAATACCAATAATAGGCAGAACATATCAGTTCATAGTTAAATTCAAATTTGTAACGCATTCTTGCAGATGAAAATAAACCAAATAACTTAAATATTATTATTAATAGTGAAAATGCTCGCTTAACAATCAATTAAAGCTCTTCACTTCAATATTTATTGTCACTTCGAACTTAATCTAAGGAAACTAAAACCACTTTAGGAATACACTAAAGCTACCATTCCTGAATCATATATAAAAATTAGCTGTAAGAGATATGGGACAATAAACGTTTACGTACATATAATACTAATAGTTTACCATATCGAAATTGACTGCAGTTCATAGTTAAATTGGATTTTGTCACACATTTTTCCACATGACGATAAACTTAGCGACGGGGCCAATAAAATAATATGTTCCATATAAATGAAAGCGCCATAAAGCATTTGTTGTGCTTCAAAGAGACGTTTGACTGATTGTTTACCAGACAACTATATGGACTCTATATAGTATATTTATGGACATATACATATATATATATGTATATATTTGAGTTTCATATGACATTTGTTTACACAGCATAACTATTGAGGCAAATTTGATTTAAATTAAACACAACAGAAAATTTTCACTAAGAAAGACTCGGGCACAAAGTCCCCACTATATTATACCCATACACATACATAGCAGAGGAAGGGGGAGTGCTGGAAGGGTGAATGGGATTGTTCTGCTGCATATGCAAAGTAATTGGCGGCAAATTGAATTGAAAGAACGACGACAAACAAATTTATCGCTAAACGAAGTCATGCCGTTCCAATTGTCAGCCAACAAGAGGGCAAAGCAGCAGCAAAAAAACAAAAAAAAAAACAAAAAAGAAAAAAAAATACATCACACTCTATATCTATATCTTATCTATATACACATGTACCCTATATATATATTTCATTAAGCTGGAGACACGAGTAAGCGCATGTGTATATCAAGAATTTCAAAGAGTAATTGGCAATAAATATATCAAAAGATAATTACGATTTGACTAAAACAAATACTTGCTTGCTTTATATTTATCAAAACTCTGCTCCTCTCTACCCCTTCCAGTTCTCGTTTCGATTTAGTCTTCAAAATGCAAATATCGTTATTTATTTGTTTGAATGTTCTTATCGTACTGGCCAGGAAACTGTTACGAAAAGTTAATTAGATGCCGGCCACAAATGAAATTTGTTTGCATATAAATTAATTGTGCTTTACTTTGAATTTGTTTGGTTTATTTTTGTGTTAACCATCGTCGTTGATCTTTTGGTAAGCACTGTAAAAGCTATATTGAGTGACTGGAAAGCAGGTTGAACATGTTTCACAAAGCCATTATAATGCTTATTTATTTGTTTTTGATTTTTTTTTAGTTCTTGGTTAGAAATTCTTAATAATGAACATTAATTAGCCATGTTCATTCTTCCATTTTTAATTTTTGGTTTTTTTGCTATTGCTCACCAAATTTCTACATGATGGAAATTTTTGTTTATATTTATTTCACACCTGTAGCCCGCAGTACAATAATGACGAAAAATACACACGACTGTAAGGGTGAAAGACGCCAACTGTCGCTAATAATTTGTTGAACAAATGCCAAACAATACACAACCGTAAAACTTATATATATATATTTTTATATATAGATGCATATAAGCAAATATATAAACAATATTAACGGAGGCAAAACAAGGCGTGAAATGGTTTTTCACAACTTTTGTTTATCAAGACGTTTGTGAAATGCTCTAAAAATTTAATTCCAAATGAATTAGAAACGTAAATTTTATTAAACATTAAGTTCTTTTTATTGCCATAATAAACCATGTAAAGTGTTAGAAATTATCCATAAACCTTGATTCAAACAGAATTTTGCCCAAAGAAATATTCATTTAAAAAATATAATTTTGTCTTATTGGAATTTCGAAATGCTCTTCATAATACACTTAAATAGTTATTTATATAAATGTTAAATTGGTCACACAAATATTTTTCACAGTATTTCATTTATTTAGTAATAATTATTTAAACAATTTAGATACGCATAAAAAGAAAGGAGAACAAGGAAGACACATTTGAAGGTGAACTTTGGAATAAAATATATGATATTTCAATAAATATCGCCTATAACAATTAAAGTTATTCATTGGAGAATACAATAGAGAAATCCGACAAAAAGAAAAACGAGAAAAATAAAAAATAGTATTATATATCTTGCTAGCCAGAAGATTGAGATGAAGAGGTAAAACCATTGAGGTATTATTTGTAACCATCAACATGCCCTAATAGACTTATTAAAAATACTTTGGTATTTTCCCATTTGCTTATCCGGCACATATCAATGTAAATGGAGCAAATGCAGTGCTTTAAAAAGTATTATCATCTATCAAAATATGCTTATCTTTAGAGTTTTGACTTTCATATGCTTTTCTTCTCAACTTGTACCACACTTCACATACTTCTTACATATAAATAGGTAGGCCGTAATGTTTGTTTGAGTACGATCGTCCTCCCCAGTTGTCTGCTGTCTTATCAGCTAAAAATGATTTGTTTTTACCAGAAAGCGCAAGGTAAACACACGCGAGCACACAGCTCTATACTATATGTTCTCTCTTATATATATATGCCTATATATATACATATTATGTAGAACTGTGACTCTGATAAGCCCGACAGCCCGTTGCGCACTGTGAAAGGTAAAGCTATGGCTGGTAATAATCGCCGTATACAGGTTAACTTGGATCAGTGCCAAACAGTTTCCATATGAAAAGCTCGAATATGGTTTGTAACAAAACGCTATATGGAAAATGCGTGCAGCGTATTGAAAAGAGTAATTCATTGGCATTATATAAAATGCCAACATTGTAGCCAGCAGTAAAGGCATTTCGAGCCGAGCCAGTGCGGATGTGTGGCTTCAATTAGCTGGTTGTTGTCTCCAACAAAAACAACAACAGCAAAAAAAAATAAATATCACAAAATTATTATACATATGTCAAAATGATGACACATGATGGAACACAAAATAGATTATATAGCTTCTATATGTAATCAGAATAATAAAGCTTTTATTCACATTGTTGTTGATGTTTTGTGCTCTAAATGACAGATGGGCTCATGAAGTGTATCATAAAGAATGTCTCATAAATTCGAGCATATTTGGCAAAATGAAATTATATTATTCGGGGCACTGAGATATCATACAAATTAATATTTACAAATTTATAATAAATATAATCTAATATTTAATGATGTACATATACATGATATTATTGACATACGCCGACTTGCGAGCGTTGACAACTTATTGGTAATAATGAAAGCAAGTCAAAAGTCAATTAGTTGTCAACTTTAATTGATTGACAAATGTTAAATAAAGTGTGCTAATCTTTTTTAAAGAGTATTGGAATTAAGACTTGTTCACTGTGAACTTTTTAAATGTACTTTTTTTTTTTTGTTTTTGATTACTTTTTGCAAAATCAAAACACCATGAATAGAACAAATGATTATATAGAACTGATGAGCATGCCGCAGCTATACTACATAAAATTAACCGCTAGCATGCTAGCTGCTTATCGATGATGATCGCATTTTCAGTTGCCAGTGAAACGCCTAGCTTGAAACACGCATACGCCATGAGAGCCCGAGTTCGAAATCAAGGTGTACCACTCATCATGTGTATGCTGCTGCTGCTGCTAGTGGCAACAGCCCAATGCAGAAACGAAGATGAGTCGGATTTTAGCACAGAGACTGAGACTGAGACTGAGTACACAACAACGCTGGCATCGGTCGAATCGTCAACCCAACCGAATAACGATAAGCAATTGGTGTATATTGAAAATCTGCAGAAGAATTGCCACCTGAAACGGGGCACTGTTCGCTGCAGCGGCTTCAGATTCGATGACATCGAGAAAGTTGCGTTCTTTTCGCTGCCGACGCAGGTTCGCATAGCGCCAGATGGCGCCACCTATGAGCTGGGCGACAAACAGCACCTGGGCACACTCATAATGGAAAATTCGACGTTTATCAATTTTCCACTACATTTGTTCTACGAGCTGCCTCTGCTCAGTGAAGTTGACATGAGAGACTGCGGCATGCAGTATGTTAGCTGGGAAGGTTTTCTCGCAGCGAATAAATTGAAAATATTATTGCTGTCTGGCAACGCCATCAGTGAGCTGGGTGAAAGCAGCTTCAGTTATGCCAGCGAACTGGAATTTCTGTTCCTCAGCGACAACAAACTGAGCAGCCCACATCCGGATGCTTTTAAGGGTTTGCAAAACTTAATTCATCTCGATCTAAGTGACAATCAGCTGGAAGAGTTGCCAGAGCGCATTTTTCATGATCTGGCAGCGCTGCACACGTTAATCATTTCGGGGAATCGATTACGCTTTATCAGCAACGGACTGCTGACCCAAAACACAAGGCTCCAGACTGTGATCTTGCAAGGGAATCAATTGCAACAGCTGGGTGAATATGCATTTAGCTCGGCGCCACATTTACTCCATCTGGATGTCTCACATAATGCACCGTTAGAGGTGCTCGTGCTTAACCTCAACGTAGTCAACCTGAGGGCACGCAATTGTTCTCTAACTCGCGTGAATCTCTTTGGTGCCGTCACTAATGTGGATTTGAGCGACAATCGAGTGCAGGAGCTGTATTTCTCGACATCGGAGCTGCTAGAGGATCTGGTGTTGCGCAACAATTCGTTGGGGCAGCTGGCAACGCTGTCGCGAGTGCCGCGCCTGCGCCATCTGGATGTGGGCAACAATCCGCAACTGGGGGAGCTACCCACCGATTGGCAGAAGCCGCACCTGGAGCGCCTGGACTTGAGCAACACTGGACTGCAGCAGTTGCCACAACAGCTATTAGAGGACATGCCCAATTTGCGGAAACTCAACGTGTCGAACAACAAAATCAGCGACATTGATCCTCACGTGAGTTTGAACAACGATTATCTTGAATCAATTTACTATAACATAAGCAAAGAATTGGTTTTAAATAATCCGTGTCAGCCATAATTAAATCTGTTTAATTGATCTCATTCAACTATAATGTATCGATGTCTCCGATCGATATTTACTAAAACTAAACTTTTTCCAATTTCAATTAATAGGATTTTAAACGATTGTCGCGACTTACGCACTTCTACATACATGCAAATAACTGGAATTGTTTCAGCCTAAGGATGGTAATGGATGTGCTCATACTGCAGCACGGTATTACGTACACCCCAGATAAGGTTGATGACGACTTTATGGGCAGCTATATCAAAGGCATTGCCTGCATGTACCGTCTGCCCGAGAGAGAGCAACTAAAATCTCAGTCCGACACAGAGTCGTCGGCCAGCGTGGAGTATTCGCAGCACAGCGATCGGGATGCAACATCAGACGTGGAGATGTTGCGTAGGGAGTTCAAGGCTGTGGTGCAGCACTTGGAGCAGAAATTCGATAGCGTCTTCGCTCAGCTGAGTAGTCTTAATGCTAAAATGAACAGCTTGGAGCACATGAATAGCTCCTTGTGGAACCAGTTAACAATTACAGTGTAGAGCTCCATGTAAATTCTCAATTGAATGTACTTTATACTTTATATATTTTATTTGATAATAAACAGTTATTGAACTTATCTATAGGGCTTAAGCCCGCTAAGTATAAAACTTATAAACTATTGATATGGCAACAATTGGCAGATATAAATAGGCTATCAATGCTTAAAGCCATTGTCAGATTTGATATCGAGTCAAATCCAATAAGGTACCCCAATAAAAAACTAATAATAGTTAAAGCTGGCTACAACTTAAAAATTGCTGGCAATATCGCAGCGTGTCTGACTTGGTTGGCAGCACACTTTGGCCCAAGAGAACAAATAGAAATCCATATGAGACAAAAAGTCAAGTCTGGGACATAATTTGTGGCTAGAAAGCAATTTGCAAATATTTTTCACAAGCTTAACAAAATATTTACAGCAAAAATATTGATTTACGAGGCAAAAAGCCAAAAATTCGAAGGTTCATTCAACTTAAGAAAATCCCGCTGAAAGGCAACAAAAAAAAAAGAAAAAAAAGCGAACAAATATTGAAATGACCGCAAAATAGCCATAAATATTTACATAATTACTTCGTGATTACCGCAGAACTATTTAGAATGATAATAAAACATTTTACGTTTACAAATGTCGGAAATTTCCTCAAAAAACGCAGTGTTAATTGAAATAAATTAATAACAATTATATACAAATAAATGCAGCTCGAGTTTGAGTTTTATTTATGTAAATATACATTTGAGTATTAAAGAGGGAGCTGACTTCGTGCGTTTCCAGTAGTTCATTTGTAATTTATTGCCCACTAATTGTTCAGATAAACAAAACTGAGAAGAAAAACAACAGCAACAAGAAAAAAATACCAAAAAATATTATTATTGTCGGCCTTTCGCGAGTACTCGGAGCACTACAAAAACTGACCAGATTGGCAGTTCGTGTTGCGTCGGGTTGATTTTAAACCAAACATGTGACTGAAATATACAATCTAGATAAGCAGATACAGATACAGATACAAATACAGATACATATGCATATGCATGTAGTGTTTAGAATGGTTTTCCTATTTAACAGTAATTGGCACACACACAACTCGTGCCCGCTAAATGTAAACATTTCCATTTCGTACTAGCCTCAGACCATTTAAATACTCAAGTTGGTTTTTTGTGCCAGACGAGAACTGGAGAACATCACGTCAATAAACTGAGCGGAATTCAGAAGTCGGGTTAGTTGAAAGCAAATAGCTAAGGCAAATAAGTTTTATTTGAAGCGAGCTGCGAAAACTGATAAGAAAGAGAAGAGCTGAGCAGCGAATGTCATGTTTTAATACTAACAGAGCTAAGTTAAGTTAAATGGAATTTGGATGGGACTCGAAATTTGTTATCTGCTGACATCAAAAATATACTTGTTGTATTAACAAATCACAGCACTTTTTTTTAACCACTATACTTAACACAAAAACACATCTTAGTCCATACAATTTATTTGGCAAATAAACCTGCTCTAAACTTTTTATTTATTTTTTGACTCGATCTTTTAGGAAAATTACGAACTGAAAAAAGGTATAAATAAAATTAAAGACGCATTCTCATATCAACACAAAGAAAGTAAGGCATAAATATAAATCAATTTGGCTTTAAAATTTATCAAATAATAAATAAAAAAGTGAAGGAAACAAACCTGAGTTTAATCACAAACTGGAAATTTGTATTATTAATTTGATTGTCGTTTTACTTGTTGTTGTTGTTATAACAATTACTTTTCATATTAAGAAAAAAACTTAATTGAATTGTGAGCTCGCTTAAATCTCTTCTTAGACACACACACACACACACACACACAGATGCACACACACACACACTCGCACAGATATACACTTGAAAAATATGTGTGTATGCAGCTCGATTTATGTAAACAATTTAGGATTACACTGAAATTAGAAGCACACAATGTGTTATTAAATTTTCACTGTGCAGTAACATAAAGATTAAAATTAAATTATTGTGTTTATTTGAAGTTTGGTTTTGTTTTTATATTTCCGAATTTTTTTGTTTTTCAAGACTTGAGGTGTTGACGTCTGATTAGATTAATTTATAGCACAGGCAACATATTAGTTGTTTGTTTGTTGTTGTTTGGTAATTATCAGCCATTTTGTTCAACAACCAAATAAATCACACACGCACCAAAAGCAGTAACAACAACGACAATAACAATAGCAAAAACTACAATCAATTTTATGCATACGCGCGCACTTCCACTTTGAACTTTCCAATTGGAACACGCATCAGAAACTGATCAGCAAACGGAAAACACAATGCGAAGAGCTCGCACGAGAGAGACAGAGAGAGAGAAAGAGAGAGAAGTGCAGAGCACGGAGCGAGCCTGCTGCCTGCATGACAGGCACAATTAATTTCATATTGCAATTGTATTACAACAGACTCTCGCAGCTATGGGAAATTTCCATGAGTTTCTGTTGTTGTTGTTGTTGTTGCTGTGCGTATAACAGCTGATCAGCGCACGCAGCTCTGGCTGCAGCTGATGCCGCTCTTATTGATTTTTTTTCTTCTTCTTTTTCATTCTTTCTCTCGGTTTCTTGTTCTTCACATTATTTTGTGATTAATTTACAAAGCGTTTTGCGCATTACACTAAAGCAAAGTGGCTTTAAGCGCTTGTTGTTGTGCTTGTTGCTGTTGGCTTCTGTTTTGTAATAAATTTCTTTGCAGGGCGCAGAAGTGCAAAAAATTAAATTCTCGCACAATAATTAGACACACACACAAAAAAATCAATTGGTTATTTTTCGCTTGGTTGCATTTGACAAACACATTTATTGCGATGCTTGTTTTCTCGTTTCTTTTACTTTATTTTATTTTCTTTCCTTTCTTTTTTTTCCAAAAAGGCGCAACAGGTAAACACACACAAACACAAACACACACACATACACTGGCAGGCAGCGTTGGCGCGCGCGCGTTGCTTGCTGCTGCCACAAATAATTTGCTATTTACATACAATTTTCGCTGACAGAGCGGTGGGCTTGCACTACATTAAACTTGTTGCTGATGACGCGACTGCAATTGGAAGGCAGTTGTGATAAAAGAAAAGTGTAAGTTTTGTGACAAAATTCGACGACACAGAAGAAAAACACTGAACAACTTAACACGACAAAAAATTTATTGGTACTAAATTGTTTTTGTGCGCAGTGTGACCAGGCGCGGCGAGCGGCAGAATAACGCTACAATGAAATACCATGAAAATACAACATGTAATATGCAAAGAATGCGAAGAACTAACTGATCGCTAACTGCACAGGAGACGTTTCGACATTGAATATAAAAATATATATATTATTTATTGTTAATAGGATGTAAGAGTCTTGTTGAAATTCTAGTTATAGTTATATGCGTATTTAAATCTTACATATTTTAGAGATGTTGATTTATAAATAAAAACCCCATAATGGTAGTTACCTTTTTTCTAATATATAAAATATGGGGCTATTAAACAGTAATTTATAGTTATACATTATTAGTATGAATATTAGTTTTAAACAACACATGCAGACCGAATTGTAGACATAACTTGAGCGTACAGTGGCCCCTGCGACAATAACTTGCCATCTGGCAACTCTTCTGGTTGCCAGCTGTTCGCGCGCGTTACATAGCAGTCAGCTTTCAAGACACCAACAGTGGCGCCAAATTTCAAATGAGATAAAATTATTATTGCTCTTTTATAGTGCCATATTTATGGTTTTATATTCATTTTTATAGCTTGATTAAAAAATTATTCAGTGCTGACGTAATTGATGGTTTGCACAGCTCATTGAATAAAACACTTAAGCCTTTTTTTTTATATTTCTCACACTTTGCTTTTGGCGGCCACTTGGAGTCGCATGCTAAAAAAAAGAATGAACTCCATGGAAAAGTTTCGTTGGCCGCAGCGAAATCAATAAAAATGGCGCATTGCAATGAACAATGAGAACACGCTGACGACAGCCAAAACCCCCAAAGCCCCCCGTCCGCCCATATAGCTCTGAAGAAGCCCAGTAATAGTTTGTTATGACGGAATATTCTTTTTTTTGTTTTGGTGTTGAGATTAAAATGGACTCACCTGCTCAATGTCAAAGTCCCATTCGGGAGAGGGGGAACGCTTGCCCGGCTGGCCGCCAGGTGGCGGTGTGCTAATTGCCGGTGAGCCAGCTTGAGGCTCCTCCGGAATAACAGCAAATCTGCCGCGTTGCAGAATCGGCGAAATGGCGCCATAATTAGCTGTAAACAAAACAGTAAAAACACAACAAAATAAACATAAAGTTTGAAAACACACATGGAGGCCATTAAGTGGCGCCTTGTCACACTCTTACATGTGGGCATAAGACGAAATCGTCCCAGTGTCGTCTCTGGTGGACCCGCCGGCGTCGACGATGTGACTCGAAAGCGGCCCCGACGAGCGGCAGTCACCTCCTCGTAGCCACTGCCACCGGCACCTGCTCCTCCAGTGCCACTGTGCATTTTCCTATCGAAAGCTCGCTGCTTCACAACTGCTTCCACGGCGTGAGGGAGGGTGAGGGAGAGAGAGAGTGAGAGGTGGATTAGAGTTGAAAATACTGTGGTACCAACGTACAAATAAAATAATTCTTGTAAAACTTGATTTTAATTTTTTAATTAATTAAATAACGAATATAAAATATTTTTATAATCAACAAAATATATTAGCGACCATACAACAGTCAGTGTCCATATGTCATTAATAGTTATTTGTTGGGAAAATATTTGCCTTAAGGGCAGATCATCAATAATTCCAAAAAAAAAAAAAAAAATAAGAATAAACATATATATATATATATATATATATATATATATATATATATATTTTTTTTTTTAACCCATTGCAACTATTTACTTTACTTAAAATAGTCCTAAAAATAATACTAAGCTTATATATATAATGCTATTATATAAACAATTCTAATTTGGGAACGACCACTGTTGAAGCTAAAATCGATAGGTCAACTTCAGTTGGCGTGCAAAGCTGACCAGAGCTGGAGCGGGGGAGGTAGGGGATGGGGTTGTTGGTATTAGAATGGAGCCTGAGTATAATGTGCTTGGCGCCAGTAAGTATGCTTCAAGTTGACAGCAGTCGTTGTTGCCAGCTCGCTCAAAAATTGCCATTAAAAACTATGCAGAATAAGAAATCCAAATGATTTTTGTGTCATTCAACTGTTTACAAGTGAAAACGGTCAGAGCAACAGAAAGGCATAGAGAGAGAGAGAGAGAGAGAGAGAGAGAGAGAGGGGGAGAGAGCAGCAGCCAGCGAGTGATTGGAAACATATGTCTTAATGCCGGCAGACAATGCGGCGTATGCGTGATAGATCTATGCATATATATAAATAAATATAAATATTGCATTCTGTGGGGTATTACAACTTATTCAAGCTGTTTGTAGCACAAGCAAAATGTTTTTTTTTTATTTTAGATATTTTAGTAGCAATTAATTATGCTATATTTAGAATATGCTTAACAATGTTAGATATAGATGCAAAGACAAAAGCTATAACAATCATTGATTAAACTTCATTTGCTCAAATATTTCCAGCATAGATCTGCTCAATACACATATATATCTAAATATCAATATTACTGCCAGGGTATTTGCTCGCTTGCATTCGGAAAAGTTAATCGTTCTTGCTAAATTGGTATTAATTATGCGCTCTTTGATATGCTTCGTGAAATTGAAAATTTGCGAGCATTTTAATTAAGCAATTTTAAGTTTTATTCAAAACAATGTATTTTATCTGCGTCACAACATTTTTACAAATTAGATACGAAAAAATACACAGATAAATTCATATATTTTGTTTTGTGTCTATTTTGTGTGACGCTTAATTTAGTTTATGACTAATTTGTGTTATTTTTTTCATTGAGGAGAGAATAAACAATTCACCGGAATTTGTGACAAGACAAGAAAATTGAGAAATATTTAGTTTAAATGGAAAGCTTTTGTTTTTGTTATTGTTTTGTAATTTTGATAATATAACACTGTGAATCATGAAGGAATTTAGAAATGAATGATTGATAAACTGACAGCTTGGCTTTGTTATGGAAAGTTCATTTCTAGTACATTAGCGATAAGTAAAAACAAAACAATAACTAATGAATATGAAAAGGTATTTTAGTTTAAGTAAATTGAAAACACTTTAAGGTTTAAATGTCAAAAATTGATTTAATATTGATATTGATTTAATATGCACTTTCAACTTAGCTAAACATGGTTTTAATTACCTAATTAAATTATTAATTTTAGACACTGATTAAACACTTTCGAGTGACGAACTTGCTTAGCTAGCTTATTAATTATATTTATGTCAGATAGTTGTTTATATTATATTTGTGCCATAGCACAATGGCAACAACTTTTTGTTTCGATTTAGTTTCTGAGCACTTTTCGCCACCATTTCGCGCTTTTTGGCATTGCTTTCTTAATCTTTTTGTTGACGTTCTTATTGTTGTTGCTGTTGTTGTTGCTGTTGCTTTTTCTTTGCTGTTGTTCTTTTTGTTCACTTTCGAGACGAAATTCGTTTCGAATTCGTTTCATTTTCAATTCGAAACGTTTGCATAACACGCACAAACAAACAAATGAATTAAGCACATATATTATATATATATTTTCATGTTTTTTCTGTGTATTTTGTTTTACAATTGAATTGTAATATTTTATTGATTTCTATTGTTTAACACGAATAGCAATGAAATTGAATTTGATGTGCAGTTGCATGTTTTGAGGCAGTCGCAGCACAATTTGAAATTCGAATTCGCGTTTTGTTTTATGCAACTGAGCAGCTGCCCATAAGGAAAACACACTAAAATTGGCATGGCAAAAAAAAAACACAAAAAAAAAAAACAGCAGTAACAACAACAACAAAAACACCAACAGCCGAAAATGCGGCCAAAAAGAATGCAGCACCAAAATAAACCGAAGCCCAAGCGAAACGAATCGAGTCACAAGCTGAATGCAGTCGACCAGCTCGCAACTTCGAGCACTAATTGGCTGGCAGAGAGAGAGAGAGAGAGAGAGAGAGCGAGAGAGTGAGTGAGAGAGAGGCAGGCAGAGCGATAGAAAGAGAGAGAGAGAGCGGCAGAGTATGAGAGAGCAGCCCGCTAGAAAAGTCAGTGGAAGCGTGAGAGAGCAAGTAGGCAAGCAGACGCGTGCCACAGTTGGGGTTCATTTACTTTTGCCAAGACAAAAGCAATGCAAATGCACTTGCACCCAAGGAGAGAGCGGAGCAATGCCAAAGAGCGCGACAGATGTCAACACACAACAAACAAAGAGAGCCCCACAAAAGAGAACCAAATTTTAATTCATAAAAGCACAGAAAGCGCAGGCGGCTAACAAAAAAAAAAAAAAAACAAACAAAACACTGCAACTGCAACTGCAGTCAACCAAAAATTGCCACTTAGCTTGCTTTGTTGTTGCTGTTGTTGTTGTGAGAGCGTAAGAAAAGGCATATGACCATTGTTGTTGTTGTTGTGAGAGCGTAAGCAATGCCATATGAACATCGATGTTTTTGTTGTGCTGCTGCAGCTGGGTTATTTGTTGTCGCCTGCATTTTGCTACCGAATAAATGGCAAATTGACAAAAGCTTCAATAATACCAACAACAGCTGTTTCACGCGACACATGCGGCGTATGCGCAATTTGTTTTAATTTGACCATTTGCCGCAGTTGACAACAAAAACACACACATAAGAGAAGAAAACAAAAACACGTGTGCAAAATATGGAGAAAAGATGAAAAGATAATCAGTTTGATGCTAATTGAAAGCTTTCAGAGAGCTAAAATGATGAAATATCACCAAGGAAAATATATAACAAACGAAATACAATTGGAAATTCTATGAAGGGTAGATTACATTGGAAATTGTGAAATTAATTACATTTTGAAATACATTTAAAATCGTTTTCTTCTTTGCGGTTATCAAGGCATTGTATTCATGTTTTTTTTTCTATAGATGCTTTGTTGAAATTGTAACAATTATTAATTTGATTAGGATTTGCAACATTTATTAAAGCATACTTTTAAATGCATGACATATCAAACTCAAATCGGACTATTCAAGAACTATTAAATAAATACTGCAAATTGTAATAGCACAAATTTCAATTTATAAATTATGGCAAATTCAAAGAGCTCTTGAATTGAGGCAAATCGACAGCCATAAACAAAATTATTAATATCAACAATGAGATAAAGAAAACGCAAATGCAATTTGGAATAAAAGGAAATCGAAATGAACATTTGATAAATAACAGCTAATAATAAGCACGGTATTAATCAATGTGCTAGCATAATTTTCAACGAAAGTAAAATTTGTTCGACAGCAGCAGCAACTTTTCATTCTTTCTATGTTTTTGTTGTGTTTGTTGTAGTTTTGTCTTTTGGGCGTAAGTCCAAACATGTGACCGACCCGTGGATGACATCATGAGTGTGGGCGGGCGAGTGTGAAAATCGGAAAATGGGAGACGGGGAAAAGTGATGCAGATGACAAGGCGACAAGTCGACAAGTCGACCAGTCGACAATTCAAACAAACTGTGAGACACCCCAACAAATGAAATGTACAAGCCACAGAAGGCAGACATTTGGGCACAACAAAATATAAAATAGAATTGTGTTTATAAATAGTACGAAAGCCGCTCGATATTATATATTACTATATTTTTCCTTTTTTTTGCTTTGCTTTTAGTAATGATTCTGTGTAAATGGCAATTGCGTTTATTGGCCTCAGCTGAAACACAGCTATATGGGGACAACTTGAACACGTGCACAGGTTCAAGGACTTCTATTTCAGATGGAATGTAACCAATGTCATCTTATTTTTATCCGATGCTGATAATGAGAGTAGAGTCAACTTGTTGAGCGCTTGCACAAGTTGTATGTTTACCAAAGAAAATGAATTTTTAATGTGTTTATTTATCATGTTCGAGAGACTTGTGAGAATGCAGAAAAACTAAGGTATGCTAAATTAAAGTATGTATGCCAAAGATAAAGATCTTTCTTAAATGAATTATGGGTTACAGGATAGCTTTTAAAATGCAAATTTATTTCTCTGTGATCTATATCAGTATATGATAAATCGCCGGAAGAATAGTTCTACTGGGAATAATATTTTCTCTCGCTTGTCGCATGTGTATGCCAAAACAAATAAATCAATTTATAATGAAGGCATACAATACTTTCCAGGCATCCACTAAAAAGCTCTCTTTATTTTAGAGCCGTATTAAAATTGATGAAATTAGCTAATTTCTATGTCAAATCTTGAGCGTCTAGACACAAAATCTAGAGCTATAGTCTTTTCTAATTATTGTTTCGTTTTTTATACATTTTTCTTTTAATTTTTTAGTTCATAATTATAATTATCAACGCAAAAAGCCGTTTAATACTAATACACGAATGAGTGAGCAGACTGCGCTTCATTGTTTTGCTTTTTGATTCTTTATGTGTATAAACATTTATATACAAATACACATATATATATAAGTATATGTATTTATTTTATTAAGGCGCGATAAGCGGGCGCCAACAAAAGCGTTTTGATGACTTTTTTTTTGCGCTATCTGCAAAGTGTTTGTGGACGTTGTGTCTGAGCATAAATCACGTCTACAATCGTATTTATTTATGAATATGTACTACGCTGATAAGTTGATGGTCATTTAAATTCTAGAATTTACATAATGCAATGCGAAACTAATTTTTGCCACAGGAAAAGTTTACGTCACGCATAACAATAAAACCATGAGCAACAACAACAACAACAAAAACAGCAACAACAGCAGCAGCAGCAGCAACCGGCAAACGTTAACGGTAACAACCACCATTTTGGCATGGAGAGAGCAGGAAAAGAGCGCAATTGCCACTCACGTGTATGTGTCTGTGTGTGTTTGCGGGTGTCTGGGTGCCTGACAGTGTTGTGAGGGTGTCTGTCAAACGATTTGGCAGCATGTCTCAGATCCTGCTAGAATAGGCAGAACTCAAACATGTCACACAAAAAAATATAAGAATTTATCTAAATAATGCTACTGTGCTCTGGCTATCGCACTGTGCCAATCACTTTCGATTCAGTTTGTTGCTATAATTATACTCACACATACACATACACACCCACTAACACACACATATGTATATATATATATATATGTATATACATATATAATCCATACATACAAGCAAACAGCTGGCAGCAACAACAACAAAAAACTACTCACCTTATAAGAAAATCGTTTAAATTTGTTTTACACAAAAGCTGTGTGGAAATTTTCACTGTTTTAAATTTTTTTTTTGTATTTTAATATTAAACACTTTTAACCACTTTATTAGCACATTCCTGATGCACCTTTGCTTGAATATATAACATTTGCTTGCATTTTATTTGTTTTATTTTGCTCCTAAATCCATTTTGGTGCACTGACACGCGCGGCGCTGCCACTAATAAATCGTAATTTAAGTAGAATTGTGCACAATTAATATTTAAACAGCGCGTCAATAATAAATATATCCAAGCCTCGAGCGCTGTACGTAAACGCGCACAGCTAACGAATATAAACACTTAAAAAATCGGACATCATCAACGAACGTCTTTGGTCGAAGTTGCCACGATAACCAGTGGCGGCAGGTCGATGAGTGCTAATCGCTGAATCGATTTCTATTACGAATCAAACTCACGTTGGCACTGAAGTGGCAACGCCGTCAATTGAAGTCTTTGGTAAATTTTCAAATAAAAAACCACTTTTGCTTTTGAGTTCTAAAACTAATTTTACTTATAAATAAATAAAATTTAGCTTTAAATGAAATGGTTATGCATTTACGAACATTTCACTTTTGTACGTTTTGCAGCGCAGACTAAATTTAAACTATTTTTGCAGCGAATAATATAATATAATAAATTCTATGAAATCAGTTTTCTAGCAGCTTGATCGTCCTTAAGCTTGCCATCGCCAGGCGGTTTCTTGCTAGTTGCCGCCGACTTCTTATTTCCAAACAGCATGTCCGTAAAAAGCGCCGCAAATACTAAAACAGCGCCAAGCCATTGACGAGCTATCAAAACATTGCCGAACAGCAGCACGGAACAGAGGACGGTGAAGAATTTCCGTGTGGTGGTCACCACCGAGCAGGCCAATGGCCCAAAGCTGGCCACCATCAGAAAGATGAAAAGCTGACCCATAGCACCGCAGAAAGCAATCATCGCCATGTGTATCCAAACCTCTGAGTGTAGCATGGCAAAGTGTATGAAATCGATGCCTTCACCTGTTACAACGATAAGAAACATAATTATATTTATTGCAATCTAATTTGTTGATGATTCGCTCGTGATAGTTACTCTTTTAGTTAATTCATCACATTTACCTGTCACAATCATGCCCACGGTGAGCATCAGTGTGCTCCAGTAGTTCATGGACAGCATCATTTGCTGGCCCGAGGGTGCACTGGCGGCACGCATACGCTCCTGCACGGCACCAGTAAGTCCGTCCATGGTCAGGCTGAGGAAGAGCAGCAATTCACCCAAGCCCGTTGTCTCTGTGGGCAGATTGGACACCTTGCTTTCCTTGAACATAAAGAGCACAACGCCGAGAACAATTGTCAGCACGCAGGCATAACGTGTCCAGCTGTATGATTTGCGTCCAATCAGCACGCCCAGAATCATGACAGGAATCGGTTTCGCCGATTTGCCCACAACTGCTGTGGGATAAGGCACCCAGCGCAGCGCCATATTCGTGGATACCATGGCCAACAGGTATGTGAGGGAGCTGGTCGCATAATAGCCCGTGTGTGTGGTGTCCTCCTTCTGTGGCTTCACCGACAGCATTCCTAAAGCAAACAAGTGGGCGTTAAGGGAGAGATAAACTGGCAACTGGCAGTGCATTTAACGCACCTTTGGCAAACAGATAATTACAGAAGCACTGCACCCAGACAAGAGCCAAGGTGAAGGTAAAACGCTCGCCAACATTGCCATCGGCCTGCACCTGATCTCCATAACGGCCACGGGTCAGCTTCTCCTGGACGATGCCGTATAGAAAGTAGGAAAAGAAGATGCCAAGCGCGTAGATTGCGAAACGGCTTTGTTCTGGTAGCTTCATAGCTCTGGCTTGATTGTCTTACACTTCTGTATTTTAACTTTATGCTTAAATAATTAAATTACTTTACGCCAACACCTGGCATTGTGCTTTAAGAGTGCAAAACGCTGATCTAGTAAAAAAATTCTAATACGTGGTATTTAGAGATGTGTTCATTGCGGCGATAAATGTCAACATGTCATCGATAAGTAGGGATATTTGGTTGCAATTTGGGATATTTATAACGATTACAAATTTTGCTTACCGATTCTTGGGCGCAACATTTAAGGCTCGCAGAAATATATGTTGGAACATTATTAATGTGATTAGAATCGAGATTTCCCATAAATTAAAGTAAGAAATCATTAAATTTCAAATTGCATGTTTTAAATTTGGAATTTATTGCAAAGAAAATAGTCTAAGCACAAGAATGGCAAGCTATTTAACAATTTAGAAATTGTATTTCCTTTATTTGGTTTTAAAAATATATGTGTAAAATATAATAAACTAGATTACCTCGCTCACTTGTTCAACTCTGTAATGCACTTAAATTGTTTCATTTATCCATCCAAATGCTTCAACGCTCTATGTTTTTTTCTTCCATCACTTAATATAAATAAATGTTTTAATATCCAAATATTAACTGGTAATGGTAATGTTTGTATGCGTGTGTATAAATTCTTTATATACGTCCGAAATTTAACAACAAACAAGCATTAATTAAAATAAGCATCAGTTTGATGTAAATTGGTGAAGAGACTAGAAATCGATAGCCAAAGAAAAAAAAAAAACAAAAAAAATATATATATAATCAGAAAGTATGGTAAGTAAACGCATAATAAAAACAACAATGGGGCATATTGAATAATGATGAGTTTGATTTGCGACTATGACAATGAGAGCTGCATTGGCGGTAACCATGTATAGAACAGTATATAGGCGGCGCTCGAGACGACATTTGACGTTTCCAGCGGTGAAACAATTTGATCATCGAACTTATACCAGCGCCCATAATTGGCGCTCTTGCAAAAGGCCGTATAATGCCCACCCTCCATGGAACCGTAGTGATTGGACACCGCATATAGTTGGTATGTTTTGGGTGTCACGGTGCGCGATTCTGCACGTGCAATGTATGGTTTCATTTCCAGATTATCCAGCGGAAATTGTAAATAGTTTTGCTTCTTAATATAGGCACCCGTATTGCTAGTATCCGCATAAAAGCTGTAATAAAAAATGGAGGTTAAGAAACAATTTATAATAGATTTGATTGGTATTCTCTTGCCGTTTGAGGTGCACCACTAACACTGGGGGCAGTTTGGAAATGTCCAATTTCTTAATTGCATCACGTTTCGTTTTGCAATTGGGACAATTCCAGCCGTGAATTTTCTCGCCACTGAAGTACATGTCCATGCACTGATTCAGATAGCAGAGATTTGCATTGGGCGGCAGTTCGAGACTGAGATTCGAGAAACACTCATATGTGGCCGACTCCTTGTTGCAGGTGATACACTTGACGGTGCTTTTGATTTGTCCATAGAATAAATGCAGTATGAGACTCTCCTGGGACTTTGTGAACTCCAGCCAGGCTTTCTCCGACGCGCTAATCACATCGCGCTGACGCGGCACATTCAAAGTCTGTAAATCGGAATGCAGCCAGTCCATGAGTATGGTGAGAAACTCATGCGAATCCTGTTGATCGACGCCTCGAAAGATTTTCTGGTACTGGCCCACAACGTACTGTCAAGAATAATAAAAATAAAATATTAATTATTGATTTTCATAGTTTAACCGAGACGACAATGAATCGCAATTGTAGCAATCATTTCATCATTCGCAATCGTTTATTTTAACTCACGCGCAAGTCTCGACTGGCCACGCATTTGTATTGGCCATTCCACAGTTCCTTGATGAGAGCGGCGACCTCTTCGATGACCTGTCCATTGGTTTTGTTCCGGCGACTTATATAGTTGCGGTATTTGTCCGATATGCAAAACTCCATTAGCTGCGGAGTATTGCTCAGGCACTGGAGAATGCTGTTCATATAGCAAGTGTTGCCCAGATTCTTCAGGCCCGTTAGGCCGCGTCCCTGCAAAAAATCAAAGATGGAAAATATGAGTTGAGATTGTTTGTTTATTGTAGAAAATGTTTGTTGGAGTTACACGTCTGAGCGGAAATATGGAGCTGTAAATGTTGTAGGTTGGTGGCAGCTGAATTTTAACGCCCGCCACGCAAATCATTTGTGCTTATGTGCCACAATCACTAAACCACGTGTAAATTGTATGCGTTTTGTTTGTGGCTGTTGTTTGTTGAACATGCTTTGGCTTCGGACAGCGTGCGACTGACTGGCAAAATATAATGCAGCCTATGCCCGCAAAACGTGACGAGCACAACTTATTGATTTGGTGGCATCTATTTATAGACACAGTGCAACCACTTGCGACCAAAGTTGAACCCGTGCTGTGATTTCTCACGACTGACTCAACACGCCAATATGTCATTACAGGAGTTGGAGGAACAAGACAAAAATATACCATCGTCACTACTATTACTTGGCCAACACTACAGATAGTTGCTTAAATGGCATATCCACATTTTAGGCTACAATAGCACAGTACTATATAAACTTGATCACTCAAGACTTTGCAGAGTCGGAGATGTCTCCTAACCAATTTCTTTATACAATTAATATGACAAAGGAGGAAAAACCTTTTGCAGTGCTGTATAAATTGATAGAGCGTGCATATTTTTCTCGTGTAATACACTCACCACATTTTGACCCACAACGGGCGAAAAATCGCGAACTCGCGTCGCTGTCGTCTCCACGTCACGGTCCAGCGGTTTCGTGGATCGATCGTAGACGGGACGTGTGACACCTTTTGCCTCATCATTGGGCATAATATGCTGTTGCTGCTGCTGCTGTTGCAGATCATTGATGGGACTCTCGGGTGAATCCTCCGATGTGGTCTTTGTCTCAGCTGATGGCTTATAGTGCCGCTTTGCCTCACGTGCAACCGCCAGCTGATTCTCACGCTCGAGACGATCGCGCTCGTGCTGATCGTCGAGCAGCTGACGCTCCTTTATATTGAACTCAATGCGCCTGGTCGTTTCGGCATCATTTTGCAGCTGCTGCTGTGGCTGTTGGTCTTTGTAGCGATCGAGCTCGTCGCGTAGACGGTCATTTTCCATTTTCTAAATAAATGCAGTTCGTTAAACTGGAAGACTGACTTTGTAAAGTGGGTTAGTTCTGAGCTTACATAATCGTCGGCTCTGCTCTCCAGTTGGAGTATATTGTAGAGCACCTCCTGCTCCGACCCGCTCAGCAATGCGCCCTCGGCGTGCAATTGCTTCAGCTCGATGATGCTCTTCCATTTCTTGGCGGCGTTATCCAACAGTATGTCATTTTGCTGTGCGCGCTGCAGCAACGCTACCTGATCTCGCATAATTTCATTGATGGGATTGTCAAGAGGCTGTTGATTTGATTGGTGGTTCGAGTCGTAGGCGCGCAGTGCGGCGGGTTTGCTGGCCCGATTGATGCTGGGTCGTTGCTTGTGTTTGGGCACGTTCTCGCTTCCATTGAGAATGTCCTCCTTCATGGTAATATCGCTTATGGATGGATATTCAATGTCATCGATCGTGTCGATGTCATTATTGTTTTGCTGCGGTGCTTGCACGCTGGGATTGGTGGAGTGCGTCGGGTACATCATGATGAAGTACTCGTAGCCGCCCTCCAGTATTTGTATGGGTGCGCGATAAGTCACATCTGGATCCCACTATTGCACCAAGAAAGTACTTTTATTAATTGAATTAATATCGTTAACTATATACGCACATTTTTCAGTATATCCAGCAGGGTGACAATCGCTGTGTTGCTCGTCGACTGCGCATCTTTGCTGTTCCAGTCCATTAACACAACCGACTCCTTTACGGAACGCGATGCCCACGAAGCCTTGTCGCTGCTGCTCAGAAGCGCTTGCAATTTGCCCGCTGACATCCTTAAAAATGGCAAAGATAAGTGGGAAATTAATCTGATTTCGATCTTCGAGAGTCGCATAGAAACTTACCCCGGAGATATCAGCTCTTCAGGCACATTGAAGGCACAGTAGTAGGTCAGATGCGAGTGATTGTAGTCGCCGCTGCTGCGGCAATCCATGACCAGCACCGATTTCTGTTGCATCCGCTGAAACAGTGTCTCACAGCTAATGACGCCCAGTTGAGCATATTGAGCAGCAGCAGGCGCAATCGATTTGGTTTCTCCAACTGGTTCAGCTGGCGGCATCGGCAGGAGCAGCGTCGAACTAATTGATGCACCATTGCTGCGGGGCAGCAGCATATTATAGCGTTTGCTCAGCGATGTGCTTATCTGCTCCAGGGTGTCCATGATGCGACGATTGGAGTCAGCGTCGCCGAGCATTTGTCGCACCGACTGCTTGTGCTGGTTGTAATCTGATTTGGCTCGAATGGATGACAGCATATTGAAATACTTCATATAGGTAATGTAGGCCAATTCCTGATCGCCGTCCAGCCGATAATCCTCGGCAGTCAGCAGCAGTTTACGCGCAGTGTTGAGTAACCTACAAGAATGCATTTTTTTAGTCTTATTATTTTGTTCACATCAGCATTAAAATTTGTGCTCAGTTGCGAAAAGGGGTGGGGCGTGTGGTGTCCACTTACATTTTCATGCTTGTCTTTTGCAAGTTGGGAATTATTGTCCATTTCTGTAGATCTTCCAGCCTGTCGCCCATATGCAGTTTCTTTAACTGTGCCATTGTCCAGTGTGTGTGTGTGATTTTGTATTTAATGTGGCAAGTTTATTTGCTCCGATATTATTTAGGCAGTGCTGCCCCGCTAGCCGTAAAGTTTGTGTGTTTGGCAAACAGAACTGTTACAAGTAACAGTTCACATGACAGACACATAACAGTTCTGAATGAGTCTAGATTTAATTGCCAGCTGAACTACGGTTGTGTGTTCCATAAGTAATTTTATGCATTACAAGTCAATTGTTCACTCGTAAACTTTAATTTATTAATAAAGTTCTTTAGAGAAACGCAGTTCCATCGATGAACGTATAACTTATCGATAATAACAGCTGAGACTTAACAGAGACATAAACCAGGGCTATCAATTATTAACATGTTGCTTTAGTGACTGTCAACACTGTGTGAGTTTGTAGTTTTAAAATAGATTTTGAACAACAAGTGGTGGTTTGCCGATAGAATTGTTTTCAAAAGCAGATATTCACGTGTTTACGTTGCTTTGAATAAATAGCGGCAAAATAGTGACACTTTGCTTTGGCCTTATATATTTATTGATTAATTGATATCCATCGGTATCCACTGTTCAAATCGGTGGCAGCATATGGAATATTATGATTGTCTCGGGATTGGATGCTGTCTTAATTAAATCAGAGCAGCGATAATTTGCCCTGAAATACTATTGCAAAGAGGCTCATCTAATTTGATTGAAATGAAATGTTAAAATAAATTATTGTACAAGATTATAAAACCTTGTAGACCGAAATAAATATGCTAACACACAAATTGTTTTTCGGAGTTTGTTGATTTCTAATTCGAAAATTGAGCATTTGATTAAATTAAATTAATTTGAGTAAATGTATATTGATGAAAACTTCAAGTATTTTCCAGGCTTATCAAACATTAAATGTATATATTCTTCACAATATTTCCTTTTGTTTCTTTTATAGTAAACAAATAGTATAATCTGATACTGTTTTGACTATAAATTGGCATGATAAGAATGTACTTTTATTTTTGTAATTATTTGCGTTTCTAGCTAAACTTTTTGAACGTTTCCGTTCTAATATTGCGTTTCTGTTGCGGCGGATCAATTTACCTTTAACAATACCACATTTTATGTTTGAGGCATTTTAGTTTATTTGTATTCTTGCAACTGAAATCCACTGAGGCGACGCCAAAGAGCTCATTCTGCCACTCAGAGCAGAGAGTAACCGTCGTAAATACATTTGTATCCAAATAAATAACAAATTTGTTGTTTGTTTTAGATTAAAAGATATTTATTGCAGCATTATTTAAATTATAGTACATTCACTTTGTCATAATTAATGCACATATAATATTTATCTTTTTATATACATATATATATTTTTTTGTATGTTCAAACATATTCGCTTGTTTTTGAAAGTGCATTTCTCTTGCGGCGTGACAATGTTTTGGTCCTGACACCCATTTGAATCTTTTCTATATAGGATCTTAAAATAGGTATGGCTGTGTAAATGCCGGGAACCGAAGTATTCGCACACGTGGAACCCACTGAGGCGATTCCCACAAGCTGATTATTGAACACTAACGGAGAGCCACCATCGTACAGACATTTTAAACGGTCTTGGAACATTTTCACGCACATCACTGTTTTTGATACAAATGTTTCCTTAAACATATCTCTACACTCAATTCGGTTCATATTTTGTACTTTTGCTTGTCTTGGCTCGTCGGTAGCAGGCTGCACTTCGAGGCTGTTAAAACCCCAACCAAATGTGGTAAGTGTCTGGCCGAATCTGGGCATACGGCTAGCTAGTTGAATGAACTCTACCATTTTGCCTTTTATGGGAATGTTCAGTCGGACCACTGCTATATCCAAATTTGTTGTCTGCGGCTTAAAGTAATCTGGAGTGTAGATAGTTTCTACCAGGGAGTAGCTGTATTCCTCATCTTCTGTATAAGCAGTGGCCATGACGTTGGTACCCTCCAGCTGGTATCGAAAGGGGGTTATGCAATTGGCAGATGTGAGCACCAACAATGGAGATATGTACGAGCCACAACACGAAATGGTATTTGCACCACCACTTCTAATGCGCACCAGCCAGCCACCAAACGTATCTTTATTCATTAAACCATTCCATTGACGATCCTTTACATTCGTTCGGATATCAATTGAGTTTGGATAGACTTTATTTTGCACTGATGGCAACCAGATAAACAGAATAAGGAGAAATCGCTGTTGCATTCTGTTCAAATCTAATCTACAACTGTATAGAAATGCAAATTCAATGGTATATGGAATAGGATTTGTTTGCCAGGTGGAACTCATTTCGATTATCATCGCTGTATTCATTTCCTCGTTGGTCGATTTTATTCGCTCTTTTCAGTAATGCTTTTAAATTAATGAGATTAACGCTAAATGTAAAAACAAGCACACAAAAAATAGATTGATGATTAAAAAATTGTGTATATAAATATTGGTCAATATTGTTTCCCACTTGGACGTCAAATCTGTCAAACTACCTTCACTTTAAGTGAACTTAGCATTGCTTGAAAATACATTTTAAATCAATTGTTTCGTCAAATCTAATAAAAAAAAACCCGTGATTAATTTTCGAGCATGGGCAGTGGCTTATTATAATTCGGATTCATATGTTTATTTGTGGCGCAAAAACTGGAATTTGTGAATGCGAAGCATCTGAGATGACGTCATGAGCGGGTTGCGGCCCACTTGCGCACTTGGCACGCTTAGCGGTACTTTCGCAGCCGTTATACCAAAAATAAACAACAGCCATCTGAATATTGAGCCGCCTCGCTCGACTTGACTGCGCAGTTACATTCGGAATTGCGCAATTTGGGTTTCAAGTGCAAAAACTGGACGCTGAACTCACTCACGACAGCAAAACGACGACAAAAAATACTTCCTGACACTGGGCGTCACCCCAATGCTCCGCTTGAGGCGTAGGGCTTTGGCTTGAAGCTGATCTTCCGGCATCGCGGATGGCCAGCGGCGCACGTAAGCACACAAAGGCAACAGGCCAACCAGCCCAAACACTCCCAATTGGCTAATTGAGTAGTCCATTCACGCACTGCTTAGTCGACCCTATCACCGATCATCACCGATCATCATCGATATCTTCAAGCCCACAATAGGTGCGTAGCGTGGTTCGCACGCCCAGTTCTGATTCCACTTTGGATGCGTCGAGCTTTTTAGTCACACACACTTCGCATACATTTGGCAAATTGTCGCCGTTGCGCCTGCTGCGAATGCTAAATGAGGCACGGAGCGCGTACGTCGTCCGCTGCTGACGTAGATGCGTTTAGCCTATTTGCCCATTTTGACAAGAGAAATATTTAACACTAGTTAGCCGTTTTGGGATAATTGTGCACCCGATTCAAATGCAAAAATAAATCATTTTTATGTATCATTATAGTTTAATTAAATTCAGTTAAGAAAGCCATTTCTTGGTGTACTTAAGCGTTTTACAGAACGCAATGCGAATAAAATAATAATTAATTTAAATTTTAAGTTTTCGTTTTTTAGTGGTAACAGTCTGTTCCAAAGTTAGAGATGATGTAAGGAATTATTTGTTATTTGGTAAAAAAATCATTAAAATTACTATTAACATTTTCTTTTTTCATTTCACATAACTAGCTTTCTCTCATAAAAAATATATTTGGGAACGTCAAATTATATAAGATCTTCTGTAAAAGTTAGAAACTCCTTGATATTTGGGTTAAGGATGCAAAGAAAAAAATGTAATTAATAGTAGTTCCTTATAAGATTCAACAATTAGTAACCATTTTGTATCGCTTAGCCTTTCTAGTGTTAAAATGTTTTATAAATTCACAGTGCATCTGGCATACAAATCGGGTCATAATTTGTACATTTTGCGGTCAGTGTTAACAGAAATTTCCTTTGTTTCAATTGCCAACAACTTCCTTCTAAAGTCACATAATGTTTTTATAAGTAGAAAAAGTACACGCATTCTAATTGAATTCCATGAAAATGGTGCTTCACAAATTCTGTTCTTATGTTGAATAATAAATGCGTTTAGTATTCACGACAACGCCAAACTATAATGAAAGTAATTTATTTTGTTTATCTAAATGGTAAATGTGTGTAGTTGATATCCTTGCTGCACTTGCAACAGCCACAGATAAATCAATCCCCCGCTTACCCAACGGGCATCATAAAATGTAAAGAACTTTGAGCTAAAAAAAAGAGAAGCTTGGTCTGCTTATAAAAAGATCGAGGTGCTGAGCTGTCTGGCGTAACCTGAGATGGTTAATGATCTCATCGGTGCACATCTGTTGCTCTCCGTCTCCGGTCTACGTGGAGATGCACCTCAGTGTAATTGATTCTTCCTGCCGTTTGTCAGGAAGCTGACAAAAAAAAAAAAAATATAATAAAAAATACAACTTTAAAAAAATAATTTGTCAGACAGATCGGAAGCAGAGATAATATTTTCATTTTACCCGGACGCCGTGCCCATTGATCAGTGTAATAGTCTTCCTTTGATCTTGAGTTACTTTGTGGCATACCAAAACTATTGACGAGCAGGATCTAAAATTTCTTGAGTTTCATATCTTTGGGTGTTCCAATTCGTTGAAATAAAACAACCTCAACTCTAGTTCAATATACCTTTTTGATCTTATGTCTTTGCATGCAGCTTCCCCTCATCTTTCTGCTGACACTGAGGTTTGGCTGCGGCGTAACCTGATATATCACATACCTCAACATCTGAGAGGTGTTTGACCCAACTCTTCAAGACTGACTTTTAATTATTTCTTTCATACGAGAACACAAAGGCAACTTGAAATCGGAACTGCTGCAAGAAGTGACCGCTTATCGCTGCGAAAGATGCTGCTAATCGCATCTCATTGACCTCTGCCTGACATTTGACATCGCTACTTACCACATTTATCTTGAAATACAATATCCTTCATACAATTATTTCTTTTAATTAATATATATACAACAAAAAGCATCGGTATCTACGGAATTGTTTAATTGAAACAGATTTTGTTTGGTTACCTAACTGTAAATTGCGATTGGTCGTGAGTTGGTCACACTGCTCACGTGAAAGCCGGCAAAACTGCTGCGGCCAACCATAAAACGCATTTCCGACTTCGAACATGCTGCATAGCTGAGGCAACTTGTATGAAAGGACATGCATGTTCGACTGTTGTGTTGTGTTTGACATCGTTCGATTTGATGGAGTCGTTCGCATTTTGGAAGCGTCACATATAAATTATTTATTGAATTATGGTTGGAAAAAGCTTTTTGCTGTAATGTGGATATATTGTATTGGAGATAATAAATTGAGTTATGAAGCGGAGGAGCTTTAATAACAAGTACAAAATAGTTCTACGATATACTCTACCTCGAACTGGAACATTCGGAGTGGCTGCTGCGAAACTAAAACTTTAAAGTTTAAATTACATTTAAAACCGTAGCTCTAATTAAATTGTAACATCTGGATTTATTACTTGGTCCTAAAATTATTCTGTTTTAAAACAATTTTTATTATCAAAGTAATTAAAACACATGATTTTATTTAGAAATATTATAAATAAAGGCACCGATTTAATTTTCGACCGACAATCTCTTTAAAGCAATGCTGTTTTGTTGCTGTTGAAATAATTAAATGAAAAGTTGACCCAAATTCATGTAATTGTCAAACTTTTTTTGTTGGCCCAACTTACTGCATACAAACTTTGCAACACTTTCACTGCAGCAACGACAGCAACAACAACAACATGCCAACAAGTGGCGCCGCTAAAGAAGTAACTTACGTCATTTTAGCCGTGCCCCAACCACAGCAACCGTAGCGTTGCCATGTTAGCCGCACGCATGTTGTGTTTACCACCCCGCAGGCACCCAAACCAAGCTAGCAACAGGGCTGTCAGCCGCACGTGCAACTCGAACTTGTGCGCAGGAAGTTAGTTGCGAGGCAATTGAAACGTTCCGAGCTATGTACAAAAAAAATAAGAAGAAAAGCAAAACAGTTTCGCAACGAACGCAGCACGCAGCAGACGCAGCGGCAGGGCCAAATTGACGTCCACTTGCCACTTGCCACTTGCCAGTTGCCGATTGCCGATTGCCAGTGTCCGTGTCCGTCTCCTGGGCCAGTTCTCATTCGTGTTGGTCGTTCGTGTCTGTTCGGTTCTGTTCGTCGCGTTGCACTTGCTGCTGCGTTCAGTTTTGAAGTTTAAAATCGGTCGCTGCCGACTTGTTGTGTCATTTGCATATTATCGACGTCAGTGAGAGAAACTCTCTTCGCTCCACGATTTATTCTCAATTTCCCAAAACCAAAAGCCATTTAAAAATAATAATAAAAACAAAACATAAAGTTTTAAGTGCCGTTAAAAATGCATTATTAACACTACGATCCGCAAATTATTAAGAATTAATGAACTGTCACGCAGTTGCATGAGTGAAATTTTAATATATTTCTGGCGTTTTGTATTTGGCGCTAACTTCTCACTGAGTAAGTTTGTATTTGAAATTCAATTATAAATTAATCATGAATTTTGTGGCAAACATATTCTGAATTTGAAAGATTTTTGAAAGTCAACATATTGCTCTCAAAGAAGTTGTAAAAAAAAGGAGTTTATTTTTTGGTAATTAACTAAAATTCTGATTGCAGCATTGTTAATAGTCCATTAACGGAAGTTGCTTTTAGTAGATAAAAAATAAATGACAGTTCCAAGTGCTTTGGTTGTGATATTAAAATTTATTGTATTTTTTTTTTTAATTGTGCATAATATAGATTCATAAAATTGTGATTGAAATATTTCTGTGTATTGTGATAACAAATTGATAAAAATAATTTGGTTAATTTGACTATTTGTGTAGTAATATTTGACTCTTCAATTAAAACCAACTGATTAAGTTGGTTCCTTCTTAAAAAGTTAAATAAACAGCAATAAATATTTCCCAGCAGTGAATCTGTAAAATTCTTAGAAAAAATAATAGAATTCTGTCAAAATAATTATTTTTTTTAATTTGTAATATAGGTAGACTCATATATGTACCTTTGTATAATAACCACATTTAACAGTATATCTAAATATATTTTTGAGTCTTGAAATAACTTTTCGATTTGTCAGATACCTGACCACAGCCCAAATGAAATACAATATCCTTTCAACTAACTTGCTGTTTTGCCGTAAGCTGATAAATATGGCAAGGTTCACGTAAAGATTTGAAAACTTCAAGCAAGTCTTTTGATTTGATTATAGAGCAGACTCCGGGATTCCGAGTAGCCGTGCAATTTTAACTTTATTTTCCATATAGATATATTTATGTGTGTGCGGGCGTTAATATTATATGTCGAGGGATGGAAATAAACTAAAAATAAAGACAATGCAAGTTTATTGCGCAATTTCGCAGCGACAGCGTCTTGCAGAATGACATCGCTGGAACCGAGAAGACTGTCAAGACTGTGGGTGGAACTGTCTGTGTAGGCAATGTGCTGCGGTAATTTTGCAAACGTTCGTCCCGCTGCTTAATGTTGCCTTTTAGCGCTATTTTATATTGGTTTGCTTACATTCAATTAGGCGGACGCACGAGCGCACCGCACCCCCAAGCAGTGCTCTTCCCATCGAATAATACAATTCAATGAAAGAATAACACGAAAAAGGAGAAAGGCTCAGACATACACACAATAGTTGTTGCTACTTCACTATCGCCGCGAGCATGTACTTCTGTGCATGTATGTGTGTGTGTGTGTGTGTGTGTGTGTGTGAGTGGGTGGGTGCGTTTGTCTTGGTAAGGTTCCGGCCACAATGAGCGTTTAATTATATATTACGTATACGCCACATTTGACACATCCTGCGCCACAATGGCGACTCTTCTTGTATTCTGCGGCGTGTATATTTTAATTAGCATATGTGACAACACGTATATCTTAACATATATGTAAATAGGCTGTAAATTGTTGCACGTTGTATGCAGCTATGTTTATTTTAACTTTCGGTAATTGCGGTTCTCGGTTGGATTTTATGGTCTTCGAAATTTATCGAAAATGTTGTTTAATTATATTTTATTTTTCCTCATTGCCTATGACTGTAATTGCGAATGTTTAATGAATTACAATGGCCACATTATAAATGATAAACTGATATATGGCCGGCTGCGTTTTGTAAATTTATAATCAAGCAATTGAAACTTATAATGCGTTTAATGACTACAGCATTTACGGGGCCGAATGTCCATTAATTATTATGCAGTCAGCTAAATATTTTAACTCCCATTAGTAATGAATTTCATAAATTTTATTAAACGAAAATACCTGCATTGTTGCTCGGGAAAACCCAGAATAAGTCAAAAGTCAGTGAATAATGCTTACTTATGCAACATACATGGCTTAAATAAACATTATAATCAGTTGCCATTTAGGTATTGTAATATTAAAAGTAAATGTACTTAATCAGAGTATTTATATATTCTATCAGTTCATAAGCACGACGAAGTAGAGATATGAGAGGATATTCAATTTAACTCAAGAGATGAGTAGTCCTGTGTGAGCACTACAGAATAATTTTATTAAATAAATATTTATGACAATTTAAAATGTTGTGAATATAGCGCATATGACACTTGAATTAATCCCAGATTATTTGTCGATTGAAGTAATTAACATAGTTAAATATTTAGCAGTTAAAATGAAATTATTTTTCATTAAATAAAACATTTACTTAAAATATATTTCATACTGATACTTATTAATTATTGCATACTGATCTGCCAGAATAATAATTTGTAAGCTGTAAATAGTTAAATTATGATAATATTAACCAAATTCTTGACCTTTTTATACTCAATGTAAATGTTTTATTTATGTGGCTATATTAAAAATGATTGAGATTGCATTAATTTGAATAGGACTCAGTTAATATTCAAGCTTGCAACTGGTTCGATTTTAAAGTGTACCAATGAAGTGACAAAATATTAAATATTCATTATGCTTTGTATAATTGTACATTTCCCAATAATTGAAATGCATAAGCCGAGTGGCATTCTGTTGACACTGCTGGCTTAATAAATTCACTGCTTTCATTAAGTAGGATAAAATACAAGAAGGTCAAGTTGTAAAGAAAACAGCAAAAAACCCACGTCCAATTGAATTATTTTATGCCCGCTTGGACCACAATAATTATGAGTTTCTTAGGGCTTTTTGTGTTGACTTTTTCATCGTATTTCAGACACAAAATCCGAAATAATAATAAATAAAGAATGTCAAAATAAAGGCGAGCAACTGTGAAGTAAAAAGAAAACATGTTCCGAGTGCGTTGCAAGCATTTACTGCGATTTTCACGCTTGCATGGATTTTTACGCTGCTTGTTTCAAATAAAAAAACATATTCATATTTTCCTTCTTTTTTTTTTTGGTAGATTTTTGGGACCTTCGAACACCATAGCTCGCTTGCTGTTTGTGCGCTTTGTCTCTTTGAGTGTCTACAAAGTCAGAATCAGCGTAAAATATTTAACAACCTGAATGCACTCACACATTTATGAAAGTGTAAATATTTAATGATGAATGCCTTTTGCTCCACCTGGCCAACCAGCCAAGCAGCCAGCCAACCAGCCAACCAGCCAGGCAGCCAGGCAGCCAGCCAGCCAGCCAGGCAGCCAGCCAGTCAGATTTCAGTCATCTAGTGCGTGCCAGACTGTTGCCGGAAAATTAATACGTGTGTGTTGTGGTCTACTTCACGTTTAATGGCAACAGCAGCGGTTTTATTGTTACACGTGTCGTATGCGTAATGCATTCTGTTTAGCTTTCGTGAATGGCAGATGATCGTTTATTATTAATCGAATATGCTTACGCGGTAAATAGAGAAGATTAAATGGAAAGGAAGGATTCTTAAGGGATTCACCAAATGATAGCACAGTAAATATGTTTATTTACATTCATAAAAAAGTCTCGATCTTTAATTTAAGCTTGGCTTTTATAAGCGCATGACACTTGTACGCTGTCCTTTGTTTGCTTTGGCAAAAGCAGCTGTATTAATCGGCCAACACCTGTTAGCCTTTTGGGGAGCAAGCAGCCGGGTTCACATCTTGTCACAGTCTAAGCTAAAAATACTTTTACACGTATTTTATAATTAATAAAAATTATGCACAGTGCGCACAGAGCACTCATAATTAAATTCATGATAAATTCAAGTTGACGTGTTGGCATGATGGAGTTGCGACCCAAAGAGTATCGTCTCGCCTGTTAATCAACTCAAGCAGCTGCAGGAAAGGGCCAAATGAGAAGTCAGTACAGGACAAGCGCAAGTAATGAAAGCCATTAAAAATGGCGGCGTTTTAAGTGGGAAAATCGATAGGGCGAAGACAGCGTGTACCGCCAGCGAAAGAAGTGAAAAGTAATAAACTGATAAAAATGCAGTAGACGCTTGCAACTCTGCCAGTTATTTTTCATAGTTAAGACACACACATACACAGACACACACATACCCTCAAAATGGCGGAAATGTGCCGAGAAGCGTGGCATGTTAGCCATACAACTATTATTCACAGCACGAGTTAGAGTCGGGCTGTACAAATTTCTATATAGTTTCCATGTACCTGTTTGCCTCATTTTCCCGAGCAGCGCACCAATTTACATTGCGCTGCACTCTGCTTTTACATGTGGCTGTCTGGGGGAACATCATTTTCAGCTCAAGCTGAACATTATAACAATTTTGTTCCCTTAACACAATTTTTGCAGGTAGGTCAACGGACAGCGATTTAGAAATTCCTGGAAATTTTTAATTGCTTCATAAGCTAAGCAGGTCAAACAATAAGACTTAAATTGACAGAGAGAATAAGCTTCAGTTTGCATTGCTATTAAAAACAGCATTTGAAGTATTCTAGGAAGCTAAATAATCGTTTGTCTTCACTCAATATGCGAAATTTGAAATGCTGATTTGAGCATTTGATAAATGTGTGAGTATTTATCAAACTTAACAGAAATTAATTGGATTCATGCATAAATTGTTTTTTTCTGTTAATTTCAACAACATGTTTTTCCTCTTTCTAAATGATTTCGATCTTTATACCAAAGGGATTAAAGCTTAAGCTTGATAAACAAAATTGCTGTAGGATGAAGGAGAAAAACTGTCAGCACGTTTGAAGCCAGATAAACAAAAAACTTTGAAAAAGTGAAAAATTGAGAAAGCTATGAAACTTGCATAACAATGAAGAGAGTATAAATGATATAAGAAAGACCATAACAAAACTGGGGCAGGTGTTTCTTTGTAGAGTTTGAAAGATTTAAAAATGCAAATTGCCGCCCCTATTGAACAAATGAAAGGTCAGGCTAATCAATTGACTGACAAAACTGGTTACATAACCCTGACACAACGTTGCGTATTCGTTTGTTTTTATTAGAAAACATTGTGAGACGTCTCAGCTGGTAACAAATTGTTATACTGGCCCAAGGCGCACCCAACATTGTCCACAACATCTGACCCCCACTGCGAAGTAGCCAAATGCAGCGCACTGCAAAGTGCAAGGTTAAAGTACATTAAAAATTCATTAGACAAATGCATATAAATGAATATATATAATAATCCGCTTCTTTTGCATAAATATCACTGTCAGGGGACAAAAAGCGCCACAACTGAATAAAATGGAAGGAAAAACAGAACAGAAATAAAAAATGAGCAAGAAAACAAAACAAAACATTTTGATTTACGCAGCTTGATGCGGCGCGATGTTGTTTTGTCTGGCGTTGACAAGACGCCCCATGGTGTCGACAAGGCGCCTCTAATTGGCACAAATTCTTCACTACATGCCCATGCACACCCCCCTCGCCTAATCCACATGCCGTGCTGCTGCTGTTGATCATCATCATCATTATCATCAGCATTGAGCTGCTCACTGGTATTTTGAATGCTGTGCACGTAGCCGTGACAAAATAATGGAATTAAACAAATTACTTCATGGTCTGGACAGCAGGAAATGAATGTTTCAACTGCTAAACTCAGAGTGACACTCCTTTTCAAGTATTTCACTCTAAACGGATGTAGTGGTCAACTGGCACAGAACGCAGTGTGTAGTTTCAATTCCAATCCAATTGCACTCACATCACAGCTAGCTCCAGCTAATTTTCCTGTGCACAGTGTTAGGTACGTGATATTGCCTTTGTTGTCCATGTCCCATGCCATAATGCTCGAAAAATGAGGTTGGAGAGTTGTGAGACGCGAATGGGCTTCTGGAAATGTTCAAGAATAATTTATTAGTGTTATAGCCCATTTACTAACTTACTTTATCTACTAGTCCTCGACGAACATTATCATCGAAATAATAAAGATATTAAGTAATATATATAAATATACATAAACGTATTCTAATTTCATGGCAGACAGTAAAACAAAAGTTAGTTGGATGGAAAAGACAAAAAGGTATAATAAGAAAAAATACGCAAATTAAAGCCAGAAGCGCGGGGAGAGTGAAAAAGTGAAAGTGTAAGTAAAAGCGGGGCATAAAATGACTGTTATTTGTATATACCACCAAATGTTTGATCCATAGTAACTCCCAGTCTGGCACACCCGCCTGGGGCATTCTGAGTCGCTTGAGTCTGTGTGTGCGTGTGTGTGTGTGTGTGTGTGCGCTTGTGTGTTTGCGGGTGTGTGTTCAGGCGAATGTCCTGTCCATCGTCAAGTTCATTTGGCTGAGTTGTTCTTGAACTTAATGCCGCCACTGTGCAAAACTGTGAGGCAAATAATACACTTTCTCCCCTTTTATTTACTTTTTTTTTCTATCGTAGCTCCTCTCACTTTCAAGGTTCAGTGACATTTGCGAAGCGTCAATTTGATTAAGTGCGGAGCAGCAAGTGGGCATCGCTCAAGGCTCACGGGGGATTGGGCGTGGCAATGCGGAGGCGGAGACTAGAATTGCGTCTATATGCAATTATCTGCACGCTTGCAGGCAACTTTCATGACGCGTGCTCAATGCCAAGGAATATTGCATTTGAACGCTGGCTGCTTTATCAGCTCGCTGTCGTCTTGCTGTTGTTGTAGTTGTTGTTTGTGCGTTGAGGTTGCATGCTCCATTTTAATGGCCAACTGTGATTTGCTTTTGGCGCGTGTGTCTGCCAGCTTCCCCCTAATCTTCAACTTGGATTGAAATCCCAGCGTAAACTCTTTAAGTTTTCCATCTGCACATTTTCCATAGCATACATTTAAGCGAAGGTGAAACGTCCGCTCAAGTGGCCGCTTGTTGTTGCCTTTGGCTACTCAACCGCTATTTTTTGTTTTGCTGTTTAAATAAACTGCCACTAAAACAAAATATGCTACTGTCACACTCAAACCAACTGCCTTTCTTTGTCCCTGTGCGCAGATAACAACGGGCCAGCAACAGCAACAGCAACAGCGCCAACTGCGTCGAGGGACAGCACAAAAGCAAAACCCTGAAGGTGTTTTTATTTTTTCATGTGTCTGTGCAGGGTTGGGCTCCAGTCTATAAGAGGTGTTGGTGTGGATGCAGACCACCACAACAGCTTTTCAGACACACTTTGTCGGTGGCATTTTTTTTTCCATTAACGCTGCAGTTTTGCACATTCGCGTGTGCTGCACGGGTGTTAGTGATGACAGGTGCTTAAGAGGCTACGTAAATAATAGATGCAAGTAAATTTAATTTATACAAATTAAGCCAGTTCTCGTCGGGTGGGATTCTTGTAACTTGTAAAATTGAGCTCCAATGGACCGAAAATATTTATTTACTTGACATTTTCTTACGCATTCAATGACGTGATAAGTTTTGTTTAAATAAAATGTGAAATAAATTTCTAATGAATCGACAAGTTTTATATAAATAGAAAACTTACTTACTTGAATAAAAAATTCGTAAACAAATTATAAAAGATTCATAAAATATACATTTGATGTATGATATTTGGCTGTTTATTAATTTTCAAATAATATTCAAAAATATAAAATAAAAGCCTGTTAAGCTATTAAAGTAGTCGTAGCCACTAAACAAACACAAACCATAGTCGTAGCCACTAGACAAACACAAACAGTGGCATAACAATTATACACACACAACCTGTGCGCAAATACAAAAGTAGAATAACAACACACACTTGATGTATGTACTTATGTGTGTCTATATGTATTTGTGTTATTGCCACGCATAATTGCTTGAATGAAATACTTGACTTTTGACATGCCAAAACGTATTGCTTAAGTGGGCATGGCAGCTGAAGAGTGCTGTGCTTAGTTTCATTCAAATTAAGACAGGGAACATGCTGGCAGCTCTGTCATTTGGTTTTGTATGCGAACAAGTAGCCCGAAATTATGCAACAAAAAAATGATGCCAAGAAATAGGACGAGCCTCCTGCGGCTGGCAGGCGCACTCGGCTCCTGCTTACAGCTCGCAGCCTTGTTACGGCCAAATTTGACTTATTTGTTGTTATTTTCGTTATTTTCTTTTTGTATTTTGTCAAGCATGTTGCTGTTGTTTTCGTAGTTGCCTGTTCTCTGCTGTATTCCAAACAACTAACGAACTTGGAAAGACGGTTTCTTTACGCACACCGAATATTCTACACCCTTGTAGAAGAGTATAAATATTGCGACTACGGCAGCTTTTAAGAAATTTTGGTCCGATCCGGTCGGCTCCGATGAATTTGTTAACCGAAGCAAACAGACGGATATTTTCCAAGAAATATAAACAAAGCGAGTTCTGAACACATATGGGACAGGCGGAGAGAAGGAAGGACGGACGCGGCTAATGATGGTGAAGAATAAGAATAAATAACTTATGGGGTCAGAATAGTTTCATTAAATTCGTTGCTAACTTCACCACAAAATTATAAGGGTATAAAAAGCTTACCCGTGGCCATAACTCCAACTGCCAACATTGCAGCTCGACATTGGCTCAAAACACAAAAGTCAATCAACAAAATGTTTGCATGACTGCGGGTATATATACTCTAAAGGGAGTATATCAACTATTGGAAAGTTGTGTTATTTATTTTATAGATTGCGTTCACAAAATATCTGTTTTTTTAGTCTTTGAAGTTCTGGTATTTGAAATGTTTATCTCAACTGATTAATCTTGTATAATGATGATTTCTTACTATAGTAATAATTATCATATTAAATGAATATATTTGCAAGCGTATTAAAGTTTCGGTACGAGAAATGTAAATTTTCATTTACATCTTTGCTTTGGGAAAATATTTTTGTGCACTGCGCTGACTTTTGTTCAACTTTGTGCTTTTTGTTTGGATTCCAGAAATTAACGAATTTTCGTCAGTCAGCGCCAGCATTGGACACTGTTTGTGAACAAACAAAGCAGAAAAAAAATAAAAATAAAAAATGAGAATAAAAAACGAATTATAATCAAATTTTGTGGTATTTACTTTTCATTCAGTTATTGCCCAGAAGCGCATAGACACGTGGCTGAATAAGACTTTGCGTAGGTGATACATGACTTAACTGTCATTGTTAATGCCTAAGTGGGTAGTTGAATCAAAAGGACAGCGGGTGTCCTTCACTTATTCAAGCAAAAAATGCGTAGGCTGTTAACCAGCTAGTAAGCGTTTCCGATTTCTAATGGGTATATTTTATATTACCTCTTGACTTACTTGTGTTTGTCGTAATGAGACAACAATCATATTTTCTAAATAAGCCTCTGTATTGTTCTATAGAGCGAACTATTTAACTTGTTTTTTCATACGTATATATGTAGTCTGGCTAATAACAGGTTTAAATATAATAATACATAACTTTAACCTTGTTAAGCTTCGGACTGAATTAGCTGCAACAGATCGAAGTATAAAATGGTTGTAAATTGCCTCAAATGTAATTTTGAAAATGTTTGTATAACTTTTTAGGTTGCCTTTGCTTTCCCCACAGTTGTGTATACCAATCAAAAATTCATGCATATGATAAGCAATAAAATGTGATTTGCTAATTTTTGATTCAGGAAAACTTTCGCCCAAAAAGCCAATGTTTCTGAAAGATATTCCCTTTGTAGTAATGCGTTGTGAAGTCGTCGACTTCGGGCACTTGATATGCAAATTGTTGTCTGTAATGAAAATATGCACATTCAATTTCCGAGTTTTTTATTTGCGAAAGCTTATTTATTTTTCATAAAGTACACCCAGCTCACGTGTTAAACGTTACAGAAAACGTGCGACAACGCAAAACTGGAAAATGTGATTGTAGGGCGCGCTCAGGAACGTGAGCGCGACAGTTGCATGTGGGCGGCACGCTGTGTGAGAGGCGTGGCAACTGTCGCTTGTTAGAGACTGCGTAATCATATGTTAACGTGTGTTTGATAAAAATAAACAGTGTAAGGCTACCGCCAACTGTCACTCACATGTGATGTGTTTGCTTTGCGCTTGCGGCAAACTTTTACGTATCCTGCTAATCAACTTTGGCCGCAGATCGCCTACCTTGTGCTGACAGGCAGCACAGTTGTTCGTGGGCCCATCACTTAAAAGTAGACACAAACAAAAAAAAAATAAAAACAAAAACAAATGCAGCGCATAATGAATGATGACAACATATGTCGCCTGTCTGGCAAACGATGACACTTAACGCACACACACAATCGATGCTCAAGACTTACAGGTGCAGGCGCAGAGCAATTCAACTTTGGCGTAATAAACATGTTAGACAGCAGCATTTATTAGGTTTAAAGTACAAACCCAAACCAAATGCTAAGTACGTCTCTATCTGTCTAGACAGCCACAGCAGCAAGATTAACACGAATAAGTCATAGATGAGGTAATCGAAATCACGAGGTGAGTAATAGTCGTAAATAATGAATAGCATACATATATCTGTCAGGTTACATTTTCATCAGCTTAAAATGTAAATGATTGTGGTATGTTTTTAAAATCTAAATTTTTTTTTTTAACAAAATTAAACTTGTTTGCTTTACTATTCGGATTGTTCATCTCATTTTCGCATCACGCTTTAAATTCTTAAGCCATTTTTTGTGTCTGCTCTTGTGTTCATTGTGTGATTTATCAGTCTTCTGGCACAACCTGCCTGTCATAGCTATCACGACCCATGTCAGTTTTATGCATCCTTGTGAGATATTTAAGTATTAACACACAAAACATTCAGTGAAATTTTGCGTTTTATTTTCATTTTTATTTCGAAACTGACAGGCGCTGCTTCTAACTATGCTCATGTCTATCCGTAAACAACGGCTGCTGGCCCAAAGATAAATACCCATAACGACATGAAATTTTCCACTAAATTAACAAAAAGTTTTCTGATATGCTATTTTCTGTCAAGTGGAGGTATTTTCCTGGTCTATCGCGCTTTTGCTATTTTTGTGCTTTTCACTCAAG